TCCCGGGAGTTGGGTTTTCGCCTGCTTTTTTTCATCCGTCGTTCAGGATGGCGTTCTCGCCCCAGCGCGGGCCTCTTTCTCGCGCGCCCATCCGCCCGCCACCACCGCGCCGCGCCACCACCAACCACCACCACACCACCACCACCAGCACCAGCACCAGCACCAGCACACACCAGCACAGCACCGCACCAGCACCAGCACACCAGCAAAAACCAGCACCCCAACAGCACCACCACGCACACACGCAACGCATCGCACCGCACGCACGCCACGCACGCGCACCACCACCCACTACGCACAGCGCGCGAAGCGCGAGCCACAGGTCCGCTACGACACGCGTTCCGCGGATAGAGAAACTCAGCGCCATGGTAAGGGATGGGAGGGAGGGGTAGGACGTCAGATATGACGCGAGCGCACCTAGCTTGTCCTCCTCCCCCTCCCTGCCTCCCCGCCCCTCCCCGTTTTTCTTTATCTCGTTCTTATACTTAGTAGTTTCCTTCTCCTCTACCTCCTCCTCCTCCTCCTCTTATTCTTCTTCTTATTGTTCTTCCTCCTCCTCCTCCTCCTCCTCCTCGTCCTCCGCAGAGCGGCACCAGGGCCTCGGAGAGGAGCGGCGACAGCACCACCCGGCGCGTGGGCTGGTGCCAGCTGGAGGCGTCCCCGGCCCGAGGTGTGTCCCCGTACGGTCGGGCCGCTGAGAGCAGGAACGCTAAACATTCGCCGGCCCCACGGGCCAGAGGCGTGCTAAGATCTCCGGGCCCCAGGAGTTTGGACGCCCGACATGGGCACCGAAAGAATGGGTACGATGCCCAACAACAAGTGTTGTCCCGAACCAACAGCGGCCGCTGTTGGGCGGGTGGCCTCCTGTCTCGAATGGGCACAGGCCGCGGCGGCGTGGGCAGCGAGTCCTGTTCAAAATGAACCAGATCCGCTGTTGGGCATAGTACCCATTTTTTCAGTACCCATTTCGGGCGTCCAGAAAGAGGCCCCAAATAGCGCTCCAGGGCCGGCGGAATGAGCGAAGCGATTAATGAGGAACGAGGCCCCTTCTTGGCCCCGTAAGCGCCTCCGTGCCCCAGGAGGGCACGAGGAGCAACACTGGAGGAACCTCAGGAACATCGAGCCCCTGCCGAACCCAAACTGTTCCTTATTCCAGCGTCTTGACTGAACAGTGGGAGCTCGACCACAAGGAACCCTTCCACAAGAAGCCCAGCCCTCAGACCCCAGGACGCCCATTGATCGGCGGCGTGCGAGGGGTGGAAATGAGAGGGAGAAGGTCTTCTCAAAGGCGGCGGGACTCCTGAGAGGTCCCCGCGCCTTCTGATGAGTTGTTTTGTGTCTTCGGAGAAGGCTTGGACAACTTCTCAGAAGGCCGGCCGACTTCCGAACCTTTTGAGCAGGCATGCTCCTCCTCACTTCCCCCTCGGCCGAATTGATCTTTGGCGTGGGAACGTGACGCCTTCCAGCGCAAAACCATCGATCGACACCCAGAGAGGCCCAGAGCACCATGGGCGGCGAGCAGGGTGCCTCTCGGCACCGGCATGATGATGATGAGGAGGAGGAGGAGGAGAAGAGGGATGAGGATGAGGATGAGGATCAGGAAGAGGATGAGGATGAGGATGAAGATGATGATGATGATGATGATGATGATGATGATGATGATGATGATGATGATGAGGAGGAGGAGGAGGAGGAGGAGGAGGAGGAGGAGGAGGAGGAGGAGAGGGATGAGGATGAGGATGAGGATGAGGATGAAAATGATGATGATGATGTTGATGAGCGGCGGCTTGCCGCTGCAGGAGCTCCCCCGATGGCCTCCAGAGCGCCCCTCCCGAGGCCCAGGGGCGGGGGGCCGCGGGGCTCCGAGCGGGAGCAGGCCGCGGGAGGCACCTGCGGGCCAGGCACGCCTTGGGGGGGAGGGAGGTCCTCCTCCTCCTCCTCCTCCTCCTCCTCCTCCTCTTCCTCCTCCTCTTCCTCCTCCTCCTCCTCCTCTTCCTCCTCCTCCTCCTCGTCCTCCTCCTCCTCCTCCTCCTCCTCCCGGCCGGAGGCACGATCAGGTCGGACATGTCCCCCTACGGGCGGATTGGGAGCGACGAAAATCAAAACTCGTCGAACGGAGCTCGAGCATCCGCGAACTCAGCCGAGATGTCGTGCACTTCTGGAGACCACGTTCGAACATCCCTCCCGTCGAGGGACACGCCCCCGACTCGAGGGTGCGACGAGACCTCGGGCGCGCGGCTCTCGAGGCGGCCGCGGGCGGGCCGCATCCGAGCACGCAAAGGGGGGGGGGGCCGAGGAGGATCGAGGAAGAGGAGGATCGAGGAAGAGGAGGAGGAGGAGGAGCAGGAGGAGGAGGAGGAGGATGGAGGATGGAGGGTGGAGGATGGAGGAGGAGGAGGAGGAGGAGGAGGCGGAGGAGGAGGAGTAGGAGGAGGAGGAGGAGGGGATGTTGGTCGACGACTTGCAGCCGACCGCCGCAGGACCGCACCGGCCAGGTCCCTCGGGCGAGGAGGACCGCAGGACCGCACCGCCGCAGGACCGCTGTTCTGTTCTCCTCCGAGGGAGCGCCCTTCCCGCTTCTACGGCGCTTTCCTCTCCTTCGAGCCCTGGGACTTCGGAGAGAGAGAGGGAGGAGGAGGAGGAGGAGGAGGAGGAGGAGGAGGAGGAGGAGGAGGAGGAGGGGAGGAGGAGGAGGAGGACGAGGATCTTCTGCTGCGAGTTCTGGGACTTCTGATATATATATATACACAAGACTGCAGTGGCGCTTCGCGCCATGCACCTTGGTCCTTGAAGTTTGGCATGCAAGCGGAATGGCAGAAAGGTCAAGCCGACAATTTAGCGATAACTCCTGGTTGCCTTTTCCGGCATCGCCGCTATAAGTTGTTATTCGTTATCCTTCCTCCATGCTTCTGTTTCCTTATGTTCGCCATACCCTGCGCATTCTCCCTTTTCTCCTCAGCTGTTTTTGTTGCAGAGGCTCCTCCTTGGAGAGCCTCTAGGGGCCTCACAAAAGTTGTTTCAGGCTTTCTTAAGGCCTTCTGGAGACCTCCTGAGCGTATTCTAGGGGCCTCCGGGGGCTTCCTCGAGTCACCCTGCCTCCAACCGCGGTCTCCCTGAACGACCGAATCACGATTTGGAATTCTTCGGAGGGTGTCTTTGGGCCATCTTGGGCCGCCATGGGGCTCTCTGAGGGCCGTCTTGGACCCGTGTTGTGCCGTTTTGGGGCTCTCTTGGACTGCCTGGAAGCCCTTTCGGATGTTTGTGGGGCGATTTGGGAGCCTCCCAGGCGGCTTCGGACGCCCAGAAGACCGCCGTCTTGGAGCGTCGGGAAGCCGAAAAGAGGAGAACCCCAAAATTCACCAAAAACCAATCGAAAATTAATGATTTTTGCCTCGGGGGCCTTCTTGGGAGTGCTCTTGGAGGCCTCTTTGGGGCCGTCCTGGAGGCCTCTTGGGCCATCTTGAGGTCACGTCGGTCACTCTTGGAGCGCTCTTGTGCTGTCTTGGGAGTCTCTGGGACGTCTCCGATGACCCCCCTGATCGCCATAGGTGTGCTGGGAAGGCTTGGCAAAACGCCCTGCCAGGCCAGGTGGCCGCTTCGAGGCCCGTCCGGAGGGCCCCAAAGCCCCAGATCCGGGAGTCCGGTTTTGGGGGGGGGACGGGTTTTCCCCCCGCCCGGGCTTATAAATGTATAGGAAGAGGAATATATATATATATATATATATATATATCAACACCAAACAAAAAGAGAGACGGGGCGCGCCGTTTTCCACTCGGGACCGCCCCACGGCAGGCCAGGTCGGCCTCCGCATGCTAGGTCTCGGCCACGGCTGTCCTCCTCCCCCTCCTCATCATCATTCCCCTCCTCCTCCTCCTCCTCCTCCTCCTCCTTTCCCCCTCTTCCAGCCCCCCTCCTCCTCCCCTCCTCCTCTCCCCTCCCCCTCCCCCTCCTCCTCCTCCTCCTCCTCCTTCTCCTCCTCCCCCTCCTCCTCCTCCTCCTCCTCCTCCATCCTCCCCACCTCCTCCTCCTGCTGCTCCTACTTCTCCATCCTCTCCTCCCCTCCTCCTCCCCCTCCTCCATCCTCCTCCTCCTCTCCTCCTCCACCTCCTCCTCTTCCTTTTCCTCTTGCTCCTCCTCCTCTTCTCCCTCCCTCTCATCTCCTCTTCTCCTCCTCCTCCTCCTCCTCCTTCCTCCTCCTCCACCTCCTCCTCCTTCTCCTCCTCATCCACCTCTCCTCCTCCTTTCCTGCCCCCATCCTGTCCCTATCCTCCGTTTCCTCCTCCTCCTCTTCCTCCGTCTCCTCCTCCTCCTCCTCCTCCCTCCTCCGCCTCCGACTCCTCATCATCAGCAAATCATCATCATCAGCATCATCATCATCATCACCATCCATCATCACAGCATCATATCATCATCACATCAGCATCATCATCATCATCAGCATCATCCTCATCATCATCATCATCATCATCATCATCATCATCATCATCATCATCCTCATCATCATCATCATCATCCTCGTGCCCCCTCCTCCTCCTCATTCTCCTCCTCCACCTGCTTCCTCTCTGTCCCCTCTTCCTCCTCAATGCCACCCTCTTCCTTCTCTTCCTCATCCTCCTCTTGCCTCCTCCTCCTATCCTCCTCCTCCTCCTCCTCCTCCTCCTCCTCCTCCTCCTCCTCCTCCTCCTCCTCCTCCTCTTCCTCGTCCTCCTCCTCCTCGTCCTGGTCCCCCTCCTCCTCCATCTCATCCTTCTCCATATATTCCGAATCCTAGCCTGGCCGCCCATCGAATTGCCTGAAACGGTGATCGGCAAGCGTAAGGCACCGCCGAGACAGGCTGCGTTCGACAAAAGAGTCTTGTATTGGAACCCGTCTTGTCGCCGGGGACTACGCTGCCTACGTGGTCGTGAGGAGAGGGCAAAAAAAGCCCTAGGCGTCGCAAAACATGATTATAACTTGCGTAAGATCTGGGAATATGAGGCTACGTCCGACAACGTCCAAGGATGCCGCAAGGCATGCCCGGGATGCCAAGGCCGTCAGCTGCGCCGACGGGCTGGCATTGTTCGTCAGGGGGGAGGTGGAGCAGCAGCAGGAGCAAGAGGGACGAAGGAGGCAGGCGCAGGATCTGCTAACACACTCATACCACTGTTACTCAATAGGCCTGTCACGTCCCAAGGTGCGCCCTGAGAGGAATTCCGAGACGACTCCCGCCGTGGTGTCGAGGGGCCCCCATGGGGTCCAAGAGGAGCGACAACGAGAATGGGGGAACAAAAAGGTACCCATACGGCTACTCCCCCGACATCTCCCCAGCCGGCTTCTGATCATAATCTCAAGACACAAACGACCGTGGCGAAGAGAGTTCCACCCTCTTCCTCCTCCTCCACCTCCCCTCCTCCTCCTCCTCCTCCTCCTCCTCCTCCTCCTCCTCCTCCTGCTCCTCCTCCTGCTCCTCCTTCGGACGAGCCACGCCATCGGTACTTTATTGATCCTCCTCCGACGAGCCCGAGGAAGACCGGGCACGAGCCACGGGACCTGCAGGCGCCGAGCCGGGGACGCCCTGCCCCCGGTCGGCACGGGCCCCGTCGCGGAGCCCGGCGGGTCCCGCTCGGCTCCCGGAAGCCCAGGCCTGCGGATGGCAGCGCTGACTACCTGCCAGACCACCCCAGCCCAACCCGAAGGCCCGAATCTGACCAGAACTTCGGGTTGGGGGGGGGGAGGGGTTCCAGGTGCTGCTTCAGTGCTCCACGACCCCGCCCCCCCCCCCCAACTGGACATGGAGGGCAAACTTAGGGAGCCCACAAAGGACGTACGCGCCCAGCCATGTACATGAACGCGGCCCCTCGATCTGCGAGACGGGCCGCGTGATAGGAACTCTCGGGAAATGCGCACTCTCGAAACCAGCGTGGACTCATGTACGATTTTGATTTTTTCACGACGTCGACCCCCAGAGGTCTGGACCCCTTCCCCAGGACCGGTTTTGCATCCTGACTCGTTTTTTGACGCTCCCGAGGCCCGGCAAGGGCCTCCAGAGGGCGAAAAGAGCGCAAAACCTCCCGTCGTAATTTTTTCACGACGCGAGGAGGTCTGGGCATGGAGGGCAAACTGGGGACCTCGGGCTGGGTTTGGGGTGGTACTGGTGGGTGGTGAAAAGCACAGAGAGGGTGGGAGCCGGCCCCGCGTGGCTCCAGAGCCTGGGGCCGGCCAGCGAGGAGGAGGAGGAGGAGGAGGAGGGGGGAGGAGGAGGAGGAGGAGGGAGGAGGAGGGAGGAGGAGGAGGAGGAGGAGGGAGGAGGAGGGAGGAGGAGGAGGAGGAGGAGGAGGAGAGGAGGAGGAGGAGGAGGGAGGGAGGAGGAGGAGGGAGGAGGAGGAGGGGATGGCGCCGAGCCCCCGTGGCGTGCGCCCCGACGGGGCTCCCACTCGGCTGCCGCACGGCTCCCGGTGGCCACGGCGGGCCCCCGCGCTTGGTCCACGGGGCCTCCACACGGTGGGCCCCCCCTGCTCGGCTGCGGTGCGGGGGCCAAGGGCCCGCCGCACCACGTCGGCCTGCAGACCACGCTGGCCTTGAGAGTGAGTCGCCGTCGGTCCTTCGAACAGGTGCTCCTACTTTCTAGGATGTCGCTCGGTTTGTTGGAGGGGACAGCGGCTTACGATGCCAACGCCAAAATAAACAATGTGACAGGCGGGTTTTCGCAGGCGAACGATTTTTTTATGCCATCCACTTGCCAAGTCTCGGTCGCGCACCGAGGGCACTTAGTGGTTCACCAAAGGCACCGTCGACAACATACATATCACCAGTTTCAGTATTTCGCATCCAAGACATCTTCGGCGGCACCGTCGGTAAATAGTAGTTCCCGGTACTAAAGAACTTGGCAGCAGGAGGCTTCCTCATCTATGCGCGCAGCTTGCGCTGACGGTCATCATTAGCATGTGAAGCCCAACCATTGCACATTAACTTTCTCACACAACAGCTGGGGTTCAGAATCTGAAGTATGTCTGCAGCGCAATGAACCTCAGCGGGGGGGGCGGCGAGATGTACTCCAGGTCCGATGTATACTCCAACATCACAGAATGTTGTAGATATGGGTCGTGAAACGCTCACAATCGGCGAGACGGAATTTGGCATGAGCCGCAATCTGTGAATATGTTGGAATGTGTCATGCGTGGCGAAGTCTAAAGCGAGATCACAATTTTGAGAGGAAATCCCCTTGCATCCGTTCGTCTGCTGGACCCCTGGCTGCACAGCACACGAGAGAAAAACTGGATGCTGTGCCATGGGTGCCGTTCGAGCTCGCTAGCTATGTGGATGATTACGGTATATTCCAGCCGGAACCAAGCAAGCATCTGAAGGACATCAATACGGACCCAGCCTGCACCGACAACGACTACCAATAGCACTCCACAGTACCTATACGACCACCCTTCGGGTGATAAGGAGGTTGTCGGGGAAGAGAGGGGGGGAACCAACATCTGACTCAATCGATCTCACTAATTATCGATCTCACTCAACGGGACACCACGGGACATCACGGGACACCTGTCGATCTCACTAGCGATCTCACTCAACGGGACACCACGGGACACCACGGGACACCACGGAACACTTGTCGATCTCACTATCGATCTCACTCAACGGGACACCACGGGACACTACGGGCCACCACGGGACACCACGGGACACCGCGGGACACGTCTCGATCTCTCTATCGGTCTCACTATCGATCTCACTCAGCAAGACACCATAGGAGACCACGGGACACCACATCGATCTCACTATCGATCTCACGATAGATCTCACTATCGATCTCACTCAACGGGACACCACGGGACAACTCGGGACACTTGTCGATCTCACGATCGATCTCACTATCGATCTCACTCAGCGGGACATCACGGGACACCACGGGACACCTCGGGGCACCACATCGATGTCAGTATCGATCTCACTATCGATCTCACTCAACGGGACACCACGGGACACCACGGGACACCTGTCGGTCTCACTAGCGATCTCACTATCGATCTCACTCAACGGGACACCACGGGACACCACGGGGCACCACATCGACCTCAGTATCGATCTCACTATCGATCTCACGATCGATCTCACTCAACGGGACACCACGGGACCACGGGACACCACGGGACTCCAGCGGGACACCGGCGGGACACCGCGCGGCACCGGCCGCCGGAGGAGTTACATTTGGTCCGGCCGCGGCCCAGCCACAGGAGGATTTCGGGACACCAGCGGGACACAGGCGGGACACCGCGGGGCACCAGCCGCTGGAGGAGAAACATTTGGTGCGGCCGCGGCCCAGCCACAGGAGGATTTCGGGACACCCGCGGGACATCGGCGGGACACCGCGGGGCACCGGCCGCCAGAGGAGAAACATTTGGTCTGGCCACGGCCCAGCCACAGGAGGATTTCGGGACACCGGCGGGACACCGGCAAGACACCGCGGGGCACCGGCCGCCGGAGGAGTCCCACCAGCCCTTTGGGCGTGAGTGGTTTAGAGAGCCCGCTCTGTCCTCAACCCCCCTTCTTCCCCTTCGGGGAGGGGTTTACCCCTCCCCCTACCCCCTCCCCCTGGACCTGGAGAGGGAGTCCCGAGCGTCGTCAGGGGAGTCTTTTTCGACGCCTGGGAGGGCCAAAAAACGACGACCCTCACAAGGATTCTGGCCCCGAGGGGGGGGAGGCAGTTTGGCGCCTCAGCTCGTCGTTGAAGCAAAAAACATTGATTTTACTACGGTTTTGGCTCCATTTTGGCCTTCTGAGGGGGCCGCGTTCCTCTTCCGTCTTAGCAAAATCATTGCTTTTACGAAGGTTTTGGGCTCATTTTGTCCTTCTCAGGGGGCAGCGCTCCTTTGCGCTTCTGAGGAGGTCGCAAGAGGCCCCAAGATGGCCCCAAGAGGCGAGTTCAGACCGATGGATTTAACAGGCGAATGCGTCTGATGATTCTGAGTGCGATAGCTGTGCTTACCAGCTCTGTATCTGTCCTGAAGCTTGAGTTAAGTACAAAATATCGACAACGCGTATGAAGATGACTCGAAACGGCCGATCCCGCCAGTGTGCTTTTTGGCCTTCAAAGTTAACCGATCGAGCTGAGATCAAAATGGCGAGCGCGAAAAAGATCGAATATCACGGGAAAAAATACTAGAGCTCAAACGAATTGTTGAATTTCGAGAAATTATTTTGAACCGAGCAAAAGTTGTGAAAAGTTCAGTTCTTTTTTTTCGAGCCAACTAGCTCTCCAGCGCGCCGGAATTACTCTTAGCTTCCAGCTATAACTAGCTAAGGGAAGCTCTGCGAGTTATTTTACTGGCGAGCGCGAAATAACCCCCCCAGGAGGCTCCCAAGAGGCCTCCAAGAGGCCCCCACGAGGCCCCCAAGAGGCCCCAAGAGGCCCCCAAGAGGCCCCCAAGAGGCCCCCAAGAGGCCCCCAAGAGGCCCCAAGAGGCCCCAAGAGGCCTCCAAGAGGCCCCCAAGAGGCCCCCAAGAGGCCCCCAAGAGGCCCCAAGAAGCTCCAAGAGGCCCCCAAGAGGCCCCACGAGGAGCCCGAACGACTCACACCAGAACGAGGGGACCGAACGACTCACACCACGAAGAGCCCGAACGACTCACACCACAAGGAGGGGCCCGAACGACTCACACCAGGACGAGGCGCCCGAACGACTCACACCACGAGGAGCCCGAACGACTCACACCACGACGAGGGCCCCGAACGACTCACACCACGAGGAGCCCGAACGAGTCACACCAGGAGGAGGGGCCCGAACGACTCACACCAGGATGAGGGGCCCGAACAACTCACACCACGAGAAGCCCGAACGACTCACACCAGGACGAAGAGCCCGAACGACTCACACCACGAAGAGCCCGAACGACTCACACCAGGAAGAAGGGCCCGAACGACTCACACCAGGACGAGAAACCTCAAAATCACGAGGAGCGCTTTCTCTCCCTCCTCCTCCGCCTCGTCCTTCTCCCGCTCCCCCCACAAGGAGGATGTACAAGGAGGCGGGAGGAAGGAGGAACAGGGGAGATATGCGGGGCCAAGCGGACACACGCCTGAAAAACACGACTGTCGGCATGCTTCGCAAGAGATGCTGCTGTGAGATGGGCTGGTGGGGATACGCGAAGCGTAAAGAATTACATGTGGTGCGGCCGCGGCCCAGCCACAGAAGGATTTCCTCTCGCCCGCCCACGCAGATTCGCCTCGCCCGCACGCGCGCACGGCACGCACGACACGAACCCGAAACCGAAATCGATTTCCCCGTAGGGAGGGCCTCAATTTCACGTCGGACTCAACCCCCAACCTCCGATACGCATACCGACTACAACAAAGTATTACAAGTGTTTCTATACAAGCGCTCGTCATGCCGATTACGTTGGCGTGTGCTCACTTAGTGGTAAGGACTGTAGTGTGTCGTTTTAAGCACCAGCAGGCGTGTCGTGTGTGGTTGCGCGTGTGTGTGTGGGGGGTCTGCTACATTTAGCACATGCAAAAACAGCGAATGATATTGAGCTGTATGCTTCGTATCCGATGGTCGTACCAAGCTCGATTCCATGTAATCTCTGAATGCGTGTGATTCGCGTGCGTGGCCCATGTGTGTGTGTGTGGTGTGCGCTGTTGGTGTATATTTATCCTAGGCTAGGCTACCTGGGGTGTGGTTGTGCAAGTGTCATGTGTCGTGTTTCGCTCTGCGTTGCCCGACTGTGGTACATGTGCGGCAGTGCTTAGTATTCACAGGTGGCACACAGTTGAGTAGTGCATCATCAGGTATCGAGTCTTGGCTTCTTTTTTGGCGTAGAGGGTTCGCGCATGCAACTAACGTATGGCATTGTTGTCGGCTCCTGGTGCATATGGTTGGTGCTTTATGGACGGTATTGTGTGGTATGTGTGTATCGCGATTGTACTTACAATTGAAAGGTATGCACGTATGCCTCGTGTGTGCGATCAGTCTGTCGACCCTGGATGTGCATGCTATGTGTTGGTTACGCGTGCTTCTGACGTGTGACAATGCTGCGTGCTCGCAGCGACTGAAATTGCGGTAACGCCTTGATGGACAGAATGGGCGCAGTATCTGGATCCACGCTCTGGGTACCTAAGGCGAATGTACGTTACCAGTGTAAGCTCTGTATGTGTGCCAATCGCGTGTTCTCTTGATGCATGGTGTTGACGTGTGCTGTCTACGCAAGTCTTGATGCATTGTGCGGTGTCCAACCGTGATGCCTGGAATTGGTCCTCTTCACGGGCGTACGTTACGTTTTTTTTTTTTTGCTGGTCGCTGGGGTGGTGAACGCAGGTCCAGCACCACAGGCTCACGCCCGCCGAAGGCGGCACCAACAGCCTCTGCGCTCTCGGCGGGGCTCCGCAACTGTCACCGGCGGAGTGACGCGCCCGCCGAGATCAATATTAACAACGTCCGCCTCCCAGGACGGGGGAGGGCGCACCAGAGCGAGGGGCGGGGGCGACGAGGCGGCCGCCGAGGGCAAGGAGGGCGAGGGCGACGGCGGGGGGGAGACCCGGAGGCCGACGTCACGAGAAGCTGGTCGGAGAAGGCATGCTGCTGCTGAGGGCGGTGCACCTTGCGGCCCCCCTGTGCAGCCCGGCGGTCTCGACAATGGGTCGCTGGCTGCCGGGAGATGAAAGGGGGGTTACCCGCAGGACTGGGGCGGGGAGGAGAGGAGGACGGATGACCATGACGCCTCCCCCCCCTCCTCCACCTCATTCATCACAAGCCCGCCTCCCTCGCGCAGCTAACTCGCAACGCAGATAATACCCGCTGGTGCCTAGTGCACTGTACTGCCGCTGGCAGAGCGCCTGGTTGGCTGACAATTGATCAGAGCCTGAGGGATCTGCGCATCATGCAAAAAGGAACGACATGGCCGTTTCGAAAGCATGGGGATGTGCTGCGGAAACGGGAAGTACTGGTCGTCCACCCCAGAATCGCCTCCACGAGGTGGTGGCTAAAAGCGGTACGCTGACGGTGCCTGCTGTTTCTACTTACGAATGGGAAGAGACCAAGAAATGTCAAAAGAGGTGGAGGGCAGGGCGTGATCCAGGAACGACTGTGACCTGGAAGGTAATGCCTTTAGGCGAAGCACACAATATGTATGCTGCAAGCGCCAACGAACCACTCCCCCTCACCATCAACGAAAGATCTGAACGATGGCGGGTGAAACGGGACGCGAGACGATACATGCAACTCCACTGCCTCGATACAGAAATATATCATGCTCGCCCTCCAGCTCGCGCAGGACGGCGCCTTTCCTCCGCCTGCTCCATCCTTTTCCTTGTCCTCCTCCTCCTCCTCCTCCTCCTCTCCCAGCCCCTGGACAGAAAGGAACGCCGCTGAATGCGATCCACCTCGAGGCAGACACATGGGCACCACCAAAACACCAGAGGTGTTCAGCAACAAACAAAACCCAAAGCTAGACAGACTTCGAAAATTGCTCACACCACTCCCTAAATAGTGATTGCGCTAAGATGTTCTGATCTACCCCTGCCGAGACCAGACTTCCCCCACACATGGGGGCACGGGCTTCTCGTATCCATATGGGTCGGACCAAACAGCTTGCAACACATGTGTTGCATCATTCACATATTCCACCACGCACGTTGCACACCTAGAGCACAGCAACCCACTAGCTGGGGCACACGCTGGCAAACGTGTGTCAGATAATGGAACGGCGACAGGCGCTTGGCCCACTTCACTAGCAGAAACTAAATGCCTAAACGTTTTGCAAGCAAGCCCTGGCTATCGGAGGGCGTACGTTACGGTATTGTTGGTCATGCCATATGTGTAGTGCTGGTGTGTGCTACTGGTTACAAGGTGGCCCACGTGACGCTGTGACCCCTTGCATGCTGTGATAATATGGTAATGTTGTGCTTTGGTGATGCCTGTGCTTGACACCTCCCCAGGGCAACCGCACCGTGCACACCAGCGGGAGAGCCAATATACCGGGGATACTCGGGACTGCTAAGGGCCGGGTGGCCCTGGTATGCAGGGTTAACTGGCGGGTGGCACTCTATGTTTGCTGTGCCAGCAACCTGTGGGGTGGGGGAACCACGTGTTCTGTGCGCGCAACTGTTGGACATGCCGGGAGCAATGGCCGAACACGAGAGGAAGTCGCAGGCGACAGCGAATTTTTTGAGACTCGTGAGACAGCTCGTCACTTTGCCCCCCAGCGCACCCCCTGAAACCCAAACAACGAACAGACCAAGCGTAGCACCGTCCACATTCTCATCCGCGTCGACGCCCTCGGCATCGCACTCGTCGTCCTCCTCAGCAGAGTAGGACCATGTGAAGCTGGAGCCTGAGGAATAGCCTCGGGCTCAACGGGGTGGGAACCCCTGGAAAGGTGGTCTGTGACCCTCTGGAGATGGACCACGCCTTCCTTCGTCGAAACCTGAAGGACGTTGCTTCCCGCGGGGAGTCGCCCCCAGAGCACCAAATTTCTATCTTGGTGCCAAGAGAGGTGACTTCATGCGTTCTTGGCGGCGCCCTCAGGCCGGGCAGCGCAAGCCACTGAAAGTTGAGAGAGGGTCTCGCCACAAGAGCTTTCGCGGAGGGCTGCCTGGCGTGAACCGCTGTGGCACGGGACTCTGTGGAATGGTGTGGCCGCTATGCACCATCCCAGGTTGCGCACTCGGCCTCCGACGCCTGAGTACGCCTGCTCCTGCTTGCTCCACACATTGCGTTGAATATGTCTGTGATTGGTTGCGTCCAATGTAGCGCCCATGGCGGCAGAAAGACCGAAGACATCCTGCCATGCTGCCAAGAACCTTCGGGCAGCCTGCTGCGGTGGCGGCTCCGGCGACACGCTGCGCCCCGCGAGCGTATCGCGTGCCGCTCCGCTCTGCGGACCAGGAGGAGAAGGAGGAGGAGGACGAGGAGGAGGGGGAGGAGGAGGCAACCGGGACGTTGGCCCTCGTGGGCCAGCACGTGCACAGCGCGCCGCGCCGAAGCGTGGCGTCTGCCTGCCGCACGGCTGTGCTACGGGCCGCGCCCTCGGCCGTCCGCTCCAAGAAGCTCGGCACCCGCTCTCTTGGCTGCTCCACGGGCTGCGCCCCCGGCCGCCAGACCACCAAGGTGCCTGGTGCTGGCGACGCCACACGCTGCGCCCCGAGCTTAGGCCGGGCCTGTCCCTCTACAGGGGGGGACAATGCAAAAGCAGTACACAAAAATATAGAGTCTGGGGACGACCTTCCGACCACTGTTGCATATGTTAGTGCACTCTTGAACCATCTTTTTGCGTGCTTCGCCCAGAACCCCCCTGTAGGGGGACAAACCCGACTTAACCCTGAGCCGCCAAACCCGATCACCCCTGCGGGAAGTTGCGCCACACGCCACGCCCTCGGCAGGCAGAGCCCTCGTGTGCGGCACAGGCTGCGCCCGCCTGCGCCAAAAACTCACCGACCGACTGCGCCCGCAGCCGCCGAGTCGGCAAGACCCAGCAGGACGTTCATGCGATTGGCTGTGTGGCGGGAAGCGCCATCGGCCGCGAGGGCTTCACACGAGCTGCTGCTGGTTGCGCTATGGGTACTGTGCCCTCAGCCGCGAGCACTGCAACGCGTCCTGCTTTCCGCCGCGCCATCGTCTGCGCCACCGGCCGCCCAAACTGAATCGCCATACATTGCGCCCTCTGCCCCAGAACCTTACCACGTCGTGCTAGCGGGTGCGACCGAGTGAGTTCAGCCCACTGAAGCAAGTCGCACCTCCCGAACAAACAAACTCAGGCTACGCCAGAAGCGACATGCTTCCCGTATGTGCGACCGTGGGAGACTCTCAACTCTAAAGAGGCGAATGCCAGGATACATAAAACACGGTAACGGAACCAACACGCTGGATGATGGGAACGACCTGCCAATAACCCTCGTAACGAATTGCAGCTTCGGATCGTTGGGATCACAATGTGTACTTTAGAGGGTCTCATGCGGGCAATACTTCTGTCCATATCCACTGCAGTATGGAGTTTCAGGCTCCCTTCCCAAGAAACCCGAGGCGCACTGGATATGGATAAATTTGCCCCCCAGAGGCTCGATTTTGACTCATATCCGGTGCGCCTCGGCCTTGTGGCGCCGCTTCCAAAAAAGTCCAAGAGGCACTGGACATGGACATGAATCTTGCCCGCATCTCAGGCGAAACGCCAGGAACGCCCAGCAGACATGCCTGCCGCTGCGGCAGGAGCGTGCCGCGTTCTCCAGGAGGAGGGGCCCACGAGGAAGGGGAGGCCGGAGCGCGAGGGGTCCCGAGGCGAGAGAGAGGCGGGAGGGGGGAGAGCGCACGGAGCGGCGTGGTCAGGCACGCGAGAACACGGTATGCTACCAGCCTGGAACATATCCCGATCCCTGTGCTGGGCACCTCCTCATCGCGATGCCGATCTTTAGGGATTCCCTTATTTTTCGAGGGCGGATCCCTGAGATTGTCGTCGCCTTTTGGCGTGTCAATCTTAGGGATAGGGACACGTTCGAGGCTGGTAAGGTGTGGGGTGGACGGCAACTACCGGGGGGGGGGGGGGGGGGGCAGCTACGGTCAGGAGCGCTTGGTCCGCGTGTCCAGGCGGCGGCCGTGTCGACACGCTGCGCCCTGCGAGCAGACAGCGCGCCGCTCCGCTCCGCGTGGCGGGAGGCTGGGAAAAGGGTCGGGGCACTGACGCCAGGGTCAGGTCGGGGATCTTCTGACCCGGGTCAATCCAGACCCGGGTCAGCAGGAAACCAAAAACTGCAATGCAGGACAAAAAAACTGCAACGCAGGTCTTCGCAAACCTGGGTCAGCCAAAACGAGCGGCCGCCTCGCGGCTACGAGCGGCTCGCTAACCCGGGTCAGCCAGAGGGGGCCTTCGAAGGATCCGGCAGGATCTGGCGCTCTGGCTGACCCCCGTTTGCATTGACCCCCGTCTCTTAGGCCCCGGGTTAGGTCGGGCATATCCTCCTACATGCCGGCTTTGGGAGAAAGATCCGAAGTAGTCAACACATAATCAAACATAGTCAAACATGTACGCTGACTCGTCACCAGACTTTATGTTTGACAATTCTCAGATATTTCTCCTGTAGGAGGATCTGCCAGACTTACGGCTGGGTGATTAGGACGTGGCTAGCGTGTCGCGCCGAAGCGTGGTGGGCCAAAACCGCTGGAGCGAATTGCTGAGCCGAAATTCCCGACCGCATCCGCGGGGCAAGCGGAGTGAGCGATAGTGCTACTGAAGCGGCCTCCTCAAGTCGCCCCTGAATTACCTGGACGCCCAACCGCGTTCCAAAAGCTCCGGAGAAGCGCTGCGTTGGAGGGTGTCTCAACACGCGGGGCTCCAGGTCTCTCCGCCCCATCTTCCGCATGGGCTGAGCACTGCGGTGCGTCTTCTGAGCCAGAGCTCGGGAAAGGCGACCACCTGCACTTCTGGAAGGCGGAGGGGGAGGAGGAGGAGGAGGAGGAGGAGGAGGAGGAGGAGGAGGAGGAGGAGGAGGAGGAGGAGGAGGAGGAGGAGGGGGAGGAGGAGGACGAGGAGAAGGAGGAGGAGGAGGAGGAGGAGGAGGCGGAGGAGGAGGAGGAGGACAGGGGAATAACCCACCCCAACACATGCACATGCACTGTCGGAGGTCCGCGGGGACGTCTCTGGTCGGCGCTGGGCGCCCCTCCGCGTACCCTCCCCTTCCTGCGCTCAAATCTTCGCAGAGAGTCTTAGGCCAGGAGCAGGCCGGTCCCAGGCCCTGCAAACGGGGCGTGAGGAAACGGGGCGGTGGCCAAGGGGCCTCCTCAAGCGAGAACGGGGAATGACAGCGGCAAATGCATGCGTTGAAAAAAAACCTATTGGAAACGCCCCCTTCGCAACCAGCCCGCTGACTAACGCCACGTTTGCAGGTGTTCGGTAACCATGCAAATCCACCTCTTCCATCCTCAATTCCCCCCCATCCTCATCTGCCTGGGTCTCTCCTCCTCCTCCTGGGAGAGGGCACAGGATGGAGGGCGGCGGATCTGCACATGTTGCCGTCCTCTGATCTGTCTTTGTGCCGACTGAGGGGTCTCGATGAGCTGCCGTCCCTCGAAGAACAACAAAAGACGTAAAAACATAAACCTTCGGAGGTCCGCGCGGACTTCTTGGACCGGCGATGGATTCTCCCTCCCTGGCGCGCTCCGCGCGCCAGGCAAGGGGGCCCAACGCCGCTCGGAGAAAATTATGTTCTGCAATGTGGCATTGCTCGGGTCCCCCGGCCCCCCCCCACTGTTGCCGCCCGCCCGATGAGTCTCCAAAAGCTCGTTGGCCTATGCCGTGGCTGACTGGCCACGTGCTCCCAGGCAGAGAATCGGCCACATGCAAGAGTGACCCTAGGCAAGATTGACCGTCGTGCGCGGACGGAGGGGACGCAAGGCGCCCAAACCCAGGCGCGCACGCAGCCGCTGCCGCATCCCGCTCAGCGATCGGGGGGACCACGGTGAGCCCGCACCAAAGGTCACTCCAGCGAAAGGTCACTCCTGCGTCCAGTCGAAAAAGGGCGGTGGCTGCCCGACATCCAGGCAGTCCACCTGGGTAACACAAAGGAGGCCAACCCTGGGGGTGGGTCGCCACCTTCCCAGGAGGGAAGGCCCCTCCATCCAGGAGAAGGAGGGAGGATCGAGGAGGAGGTTTTAGGATCGAGGATCGAGGAGGTTTTAGAGGAGGAGGAGGAGGAGGAGGAGGAGGAGGAGGAGGAGGAGGGAGGAGAAGGAGAGAGGATCGAGGATCGAACCCTGGCGCTGCAGCCGCCGCAAGTACTCAAGAGTCGTGAGCCCAGCAACGTGGGGCGCGCCCTCATGGCGGAAGGCGCCACCCTCGCCGTGCACAACGCTCGTTGAGGGAGGAGGAGCGGGTACGGCGCTCGACCGTCAGCCTCTCTCGATACCCGTCGGCCCTCGGCGGTACTGACGAATCCCTCGGCTGTCTTCGGCAGTCTCCGAGAACGACGGCGTTCAGCGATGGGCCCGTGATCGGACACCCGGAAGACCCGCTATCGCTCGGACGTCCGTTCTCTGTGCAGGGCTCGGTCTCGCGCGCTTCTTTTTCGCAAGACGCTCTTCGATGGTATTCGCTCCATCCATCGCTCCCTGAATTCCCCTGTGCGGTGGTCGCTTCGCCCAAGGCCCCCCCCCTGGGACCCCCCCTAGGCCCCCGGCCATACCGAGGGCGCTCACTCTCCAGTACCACCCCCGTTCCCGTATCGGCGTGCCAACGCTGATCAAACACATGCCCCCCCACAAGCCTCCTCCTTGAACTGGCGAATAAACCCGCGCTCCAATCGCACTTTTGGTACGTGATAAGCGCTACAGCATGGAGCAGCCATGACGTGTGCGAACCATAGGTGTATCACAAACAACTTCGTCTAGCGTAGGGTGCCATCAGACAAGGAAGAAACGATGGCCAACACAATGAGCGATGATGGGCCAACGTCTTGCTGATGCATTGATGTGGGGAGCAACAACGGCAACACGACAGCTACCGCAACACTGCCGCAAGCCTAAATCAGGTCGTTCCGCTCACCATAACTACGACCATTGCCAATACAACCACAACCGACATGCACATCGCCCGTTCAGACTGCCGCTGCTGCCCGAACGACTCCCGACCCCGACGCTCAGAAAGCTGACGCAAAAACATGAAAAAAGCTGCTGTGATCAGACGGATGCTAGATGGGGCGGGACTGAGCAGGGAGAAGCGGATCAGCAAGGGGCCGCCAGAGGACAGCAGCAATCCAGAGGCGCGCCCCCCGCAGGTGGAAAAAGGGCGCAGCGTACGAGCGGTAAAAACCAAGGAACCGAGTAGTGATGGCATGAACGACTTCACGTGATTAACCAAGAAAGGAACCCTTACCCTTTGGGAGTGGACCAAAGTTGGGAACGCCAAGAACATCAGGGATGGTTTTTTTTCCTGCAGATGTTTCAGAGCATACCGCCCAGACTGACCCTAATGCGAAGACGGGGACCTGAGTGAGGCCAAGTCTTCATCGTGAAATGAAGGTTAGGGGCTCTTTTGTGCGCGATGATTATCGGGAGCGGCAAAGAGGGGGGTGTCCAAGAGGGGGGGGTGCAAATCATGACCGGCGGCATGTGCGCGGCCCAGCGGGGGGGCCAGGGACGTAATGAAATAAGACATGGCGCCATGAAATCTGGGGAAATATCATGGCCCGCGCCATGATATCCACCCCCCTCTAGTCATCACCCCCCTCTTTTCCGCCCCCGAGATTAAGTGGTGGCTCACGCGGGCCGACAGCGCGGGACAACCTACGGGATCCATAACGACCACGCGCGATCTCAAATGGCCGGCTCACGCGCGAACGTCAGCGCAGTCGAGTCCGTTGCTTCACGCCGCTCACGCTGCAACCATGCTTTAAACCGTGCAAGAATCATTTGCACCAACACGTGCGCACGTGTATTTGCGACGATGGCCGACGCATTATGGACTTGTGAAGCAGTCATTTGGAAAGATTGCGATGCGATTGAATACTTACCGTGTTTACGGTTCAAACATTTCGAACACCTCAACATTTGTGCTCATTGGGGATTGTTAGTCGTGACCCACCGTGGACGTTCATTATTGCCGGCGATGTGTGATCTGATGCGGTAGATGAAGCAACCAAAAATCCTAGCTGATCCAAGGTCTCACCCTTATCCAGGCAGCCCGGTTCATCCCAGACCCTGGAGCTTCCTGCCGATCGGGAACCGACTGGACGGCACCCCCACCCTCAGCAATTCATACACAATGGCTGAATGTTCCATGGATGCCTCGACTGTCCTTGGTTGCGCTTTACACTGTGACTTTGACGGCAAAGCCGCGGATTTGAGAAGTAAAAGCCGTGCACGACGACGCACCAAGCAGGAACATGTCGCAATGTACTTCACGACATGCTGCATTTGCAGGTCTTGGCATGTATTCGCAGGACTCACCCCTATAGCAGCCCGAAGCCAGCGGGGCGTGAGACCAAAACGTCGAGGGCACTGCTGCCTATCCTGGACGCAAAACTACCAGTGCAGAGGCGGGCAGCTGCGGAACTCGGGAGCGGCGCGAGAGACGCTGGTCAGAATCCCGCGGGCGCGGTCGCGTCGGGGAGCAGCTCGTACGACAGCCCCTTGTCCTGTAGGGGGCACTCGACACAGGCCATCGGTCCCTCAATTTCTGCTGCCCCACCCCCGTAGTGACTACCTACCAGACCACCCCAACCCAACCCGAAGACCCGAATTTGACCCGAATTTCGGGTTGGGGGGGGTACGGATTCCATGTGTTTTCTCAACGTTTCCCGACCCCCCCCCACTGGAAATCGAGGATAAATTGAGGCCTTCGGGTTGGGTTGGGGTGGTTTGGTGGGCGGTGACGTAGGGAGCACTTAGCTGGTGTGACTCGCTTCCCTGGTTCGGGGCTGGCCTTGCTACGCGTGTGAATGTAATGTGTTGCTTCTCCGTGCTGATGATGCCGGCATTACTTTCAATGCCTCATACTCTCAGTGTCCTGTATTGCTGTATCCATCGGTTCCTCCTGTGGTGTGCCCTGTCACTGTGATTAGATGTGTGGAAGCCTTCCACATCATTTTATGATGGGGCTGTCTTATCAACGAATTCGTGTTGAAGCGGCCTCGCAAAATCCAACCTCCGGTCGCACTGCTTTGACATTACACTACCGAGGAACCCCACATACTGATGTAAGGTCGCGCGTGTTCACGCCTGCTGTGCCTGGACGACCGTCACGAATAGCGGCCGCGGTGAGAGACCACCCCCTATGGTCTCGAGACTATGCCGCCTGGACGAACGTCACGGATAGCGGCCGCGGTGTGAGACTTCCCTTTGCGCACCCCCCATGGTCTCGAGAATATGCCATGCCTGCTGTGCCTGGACGAACGTCAAGGATAACGGCCGCGGTGAGAGACCACCCCCTGCGCACCCCCTCTGGCGTCGAGAAATTGCCGCGCCTGCTAAGCATTTCGACGGTGTCGTGGACAGCGGCCGCGGTGAGAGACCACCCCCTGCGCACCCCCTCTGGCGTCGAGAACTTGCCGCGCCTGCTAAGCATTTCGACGGTGCCGTGGATAGCGGCCGCGGTGAGACACCACCCCCTGCGCACCCCCTCTGGCGGAACCTCCGACGTCGTGATTTTTTCACAACGTCGACCCCCAGAGGTCTGGACCCCTTCCCCAGGACCGGTTCTTCATCCTGAGTCGTTTTTTGACGGCCCCGAGGCCCGGTGAGGGCCCCCGGAGGCCGAAAATAGCGAAAAACCTCCCGTCGTGATTTTTTCACGACGCGAGGAGGTCTGGGATCATGGCGGACCCACCCAGCGCAGAGGACCCACGCAGCGCACGGGGCGCCCCCGAGCGCCCAGGAGGCGGCCACGCGGCGCCACCTCGGCGGACCCAAACGCAGCGCTCCGGGGCGCCCACGAGCGCCCGCGAGGCGGCACGGGGCGGCGCCGTGGAACATCCTCGGCGGACCTGTCCAATAACACTCGGGGATAGGGCGACGAAATCTATACATATCCACTGCTCCCTGGCCAGGCCCATCCTCAACCCCGCAGCGGTGTATACGCCACGCCCTCCTGGCTTGGCCAGGAGGGCGCATACACAGCTCCTGGGTTCAAGATGGGCATGGTGAGGGAGCAGTGGATATGTATAGATTTCGTCGCCCGAGGGGAGCGGAAGCAAGGACCCCTACGTGCAGGCACTGCTCGGGGGAAGATTTCAGCTTCTGGTCATGGGAGGCGCCGTGCTGCCCCCGTCCAAGTCCGCCGGCACTCCGCCGTCGGAGCCATCGTCCCATCACGTTCGCCAGCCTTCCGCCGAAGAAGAGAAGCCAACTCCGCGACCCCCTTGGAGGCGAGGGACCCTCCAGACGCAACGTGTGGATATATGTGTGTTCGGCGGCGGGCGGACGGCGTCCATGGAGTGGACGACGATCACCAGAGGCGACTTGATCGGTCTCTTCGGCGTGGCCTTGAAATCCGCAGACCCGGAGCCATGCCGAGGCCGAGGGGTGGCGAAGTGTGTCGGACCGTGTCCCCCCCCAAGGAGGAGGGAGGGGCCCTGACATCGGGCGGCTCGAGCGACAAGCATGGCGGCCGGCTTTTCGCAAGCTGGAGCCGCCAGGCCAGTGCTGGGCTCTGGGAATGTACCAAGGACTGCTCGAGGTGAAAAGCTGCCCCTGGCGAAGCGGTCGAGAGGTACGGGGGCCAGTGCCCGGACAGAAGCCGAGCCGCCGGATGTTATGGAAGGGACCGAAGGGAGGAGGCAGCGGTAAGTTTCAGGCGTCGCTTAAGGGGTGTCTCGCACAAGGCCATGGGCCTGGCTAAAAGCGAACACGAGAGTCAACGCTGAGAATAAGGGTGCGCGGTAAGGATGCAAGCCCCTGGGACGCCCACGTCGAAGCTTTCCGAGCGGGGCTGGCCATCGAAAGGGACTCAGGATGGAGCGAGGAGGCAAGGTTGCAAGGGTACTCTCAGGAAGGTTACCCATCCTTACCATCGATTTCGACTGTAGCTCGACATCGTGGAATGTTGAAGCGACAGACAACAAGCGAAGCCGCACACCCGTCCAGAAATGGCCGCAGGTCTGTGCCATCGCACCCGTATGGATGTCTGCAAGGGGAGGGGCCGAGAACTTCTCAAGACCTGGGGGAGGGGGACTCCGCCAGGGCTCCGGGCTCCTGAGGTGTCCAAGGAGCCCCCGGAGGGGAAGGAGGACGGTTCCTGGGGATCCTCGAGCAGGAGACCGGCTACAGAATTGATTTACCTCAGAATCGATTGCGTTCGCCGAACATGCGTAGAATGTGTGTTGGATGAGCGTGCCTGTTCCCCGTAGACTCGACGAACATTTCCATTTGGGGTCCATCAATTCTGTGGTCGATCCCCTACTCTCGAGGCTCGGAGGTGTTCAGGGGGCGTCCAGAAGGATCAGGGAGCTCGGGGGAGACGGAGGGGAGGATGGAGGAGAGGGGGGCAGGAAGTCCTCGGGCGCTCAGTGAAGAGTCTGAAGGCTCTCGAGGGTTTACGTGCGGGGGCTCGAATGGGGTTCCAGAAATGGGGAAGGAGGGCGGACGGGGGGAGTGATGAAGGAGCGGGGGCGGAGAGGATGCTGACGATCTAGAAGGTTGTGTTAGTCCGAGACGCCAGGAGCAGCCCACCCCCGGGACGCAAGAGCCAGCGGAGCACGGGGTAAAGACATCGGCCATCTGCCACGTCCACGGGCACGGGTGGATGCACGCCGCGCAGAATTTTCGAGCAAGATCTTCTCGTGACGATGGGATGTGCACAGGCGATCTGCCGGACAAAACAAGAGCGCTCAAAAACATCGATCCTCGAATCTCGAGGACTGGGAGTTCTGGAAGGCCCCCCCCCCTCCCCCGATCCTCTCCACCTCGGCTCTCCCCCCCAGGGCCCCAAGTCCCATTACTGCAAAAAAGGGGGGAACGACTCGTCAGCCAGCCCTGTTGCTCCCTCCATCCATCCACCTCCTCACTGCCGTTCCTCCCCCTCCTCCCCTCCCCTCCCCTCCCCTCCCCTTCCCGCCCCCACCCCTGAGCACCCGCCTTGTCCCGCGCTCTAACCGTCCCTGGCTGCTTCCCCTCCGAAGCTCCTCCCGTCTCATCCTCCCTCCTCCCTCCCTCCCATCCTGCATCCTCCGCCCGCCTATCCATGTTACCCTGCCCCTCCCTCCGCCCTTCCCTGCCCCTTCCCTCATGCGTCCTCCCTGCCCTCTCTCCCCGCCATGCCATCCCCCTGCTTCTTCTCCCACACCACACTCTGCCCCCTCCCTTCCGTTTCCACCCCGCCCTCCTTGCTCACGGGCCAAATCACGGCCCCTCCCCACCTCCATCGTTCCCCTCTCGCCCTTTCCGAAATCCTACCTCTTGGGCGCACCTCCTGGGAGACCTTCGTAAGAACCATTAATAAGTACAGGGCTATCACGCCTGCTTGCGTGACCGTGAAAAGCGGATCAGGCTGGACTTCGCTTGAGATTCTGCCACGTTGCACGGCGCTGGATGGAATTCAGCGGGTCTGTGCAGGGCTTCTACCATGGATAGGAGGAGGAAGAGGAGGAGGAGGAGGAGGAAGAGGAGGAGGAGGAGGAGGAGAAGGAGGAGTATACCAGTGCGCCCCCCCCCGTTCGCTAACCCGCGTCCGCCACCCCCCCCACCCCCGCTGCCTCCGACGGCGGGGGGGCACGAGAGGGACGGAGGCATCGAGGCGGAAGAAAGAGAGAGAGAGAGAGAACAAAAATACACACACACACACACAAAAAAAACACACAGAAAGCAACAACAAGTGAGCAAGGGATAGAAGAGTGGCGCGAATCGAAGTCCGCTGACCCTCCGGCGTGCGTGAGACGCTGTCGTCGTCTTCGTTGTCGCCGCCACACCCCAGGAAATCGAAGCACCACGAGCGGGGAGAGAAGGGTCGTGATTGTGTCCACTCCCCTCCCTCTGTTCCTTCCTTGACGGGGGGGGGGTGCGGGGGGGGGTTAGGGGGCGGTCCCGGGTCAGTGAGATCACCGCAACCCCCGGAGCGGCCGCCAGCGGGGATCCCCGGCGAGGTCCTGCCTGTGGGGGGGGGGAAGTGGTCCCGGGTCAGAGAGCCGCCCCCCCCCCCTCCGGGGTCCCTGCGGGCCTGCAGGGTGTGTCGCCGGCTGGGGTCCCGTCCCTGGGAGGTCGCCGGGGTGGGGGGCTGCCTGCGAGCCCTACCCCTTACCCCCTGCGACTTCTGAGGGGGAGGGTGGGGTTCACTTCGTCTGGGAGCTCCCGAGCGAAGTGAACCCCACCCTCCCCCTCAGAAGTCGTGGGGGTAGGGGTAGGGTTCGCATGCGGCCCCCCTACAAAGGGGGGTCCGGTGGAGGTCCCGCCCGTGCGGTCCCGGGTAAGAGATACCAGGGCCCCAGCGGGTCCCGGGGGGGGGGGGTCGCTGGCGGGGGTCCCAAGAGAGGTCCCGCCTTCAGGGTCGGCGGCACTTGCCGCAAGGCCTTCGCGGTAGTAAAGGTAACAGACAGACAGTGACAAAAGAATACATTCTTCTATATGAACATGCACGATGGACTACACAATATCTGATAGTTCTTACAATACTGAGAAGGGCGCATAAGGGCGAGGAGGGGAAGACGGGAGGAGGAGACGGAAGGACACGGGAGTGGAGCGCGCAAAACATCTACAGCCTTGGAAAAGGTTGTCTTCGGACGCCGCCACGCACACCCATGCCAACCCACAGCGTGTTGGGAATGCCCACGCCCATGGCGGCCGCCATCTTGTAGCGCAGTCGTGTTGCATGTGGACCACCATGGGCATTCATGACACCGTGCCATCACTTCGGTTTGTACACGCCCATCACGATGTGTTTCAAATTGATGGGCCTGTTTTCTACCACCACCACCACCATCATAAGTTGGAGGGGGAGGGGGCCTTCCTTCTCCTCCTCCTCCTGCTCCTCCTGCTCCTCTTCGTCCTCCTCCTCCGCATCCTCCTCCTCCTCCTCCTCCCTCCCCCCCTCCAACTTATGGTGGTGGCGGTTGAAAACAAGCCCATCACAAATAACCAGTGTCGAAGAAAACGTGAAATGCCAGTGTTTGTTGAAACCGCATGGCGAGCAACCAAATTCCCTGATTTTCCGCTCCGCGAGCCTCGTGAATGCTTTTTGGAGCGGGCCAACACAAGCAACTTGCGAGGACGTCTCATGCGAAACGGGGCCCAAACCAGGTGAAACAATGGCGAAACCAGGGAAATTCTCGGGACTTCTCAAGCGAAACCGCGCCCAAACTGGCCAGACCAGGGCCAAACCAAGCACGTATATTTGGAGGTCAGACGGAATCGGCCCAGACCAAGCAAGCCAAACCAGGGGCCAACCCAAGCCAAACCGCGCAAATGTTCAGGATGTCTCAGGCGGCGCGCGCGGCCAAACCAGGCAAATTACGTCCCAAGCAGAATCGCACAAACCGGGCTCCATCCACTCTCTTCAATCACATTCGAGTTAATAATGGATCACCCCAGGGCCCCCACCGCAGGCGAAAACGCGTTCATAAGTTCTTGGGGGGCTTTTGGACAGCGCGCCCGCTGATGCGGACGGGGTTCGGCGCAGAAACCTTCGTTTGTCTTTCGGGTGTGGTTTGGGCCTTGATGTGGCGTTAGGAATCATACTTCCGAGCCTGGAATACCAGAGTACCGGGTGGAGAGTAGCGAGTACACATTACATGCCTATGGGAAGGCCACATAGTAGAACGTAGACATTCCATAGCGCTATGGTGTGCCCATCCTACTCTAGGACCGCAGAAATAGGTTCGAGCACCCAGGAAAGTATCGAATAGTGTGTGCCCGAAGCGCTGGCGAAATGTCGAACGAGCATCGCCTCCAAAGGCCTGACACGTGAAAACTGTCTTAGGGGTGTCGCCCGTCCGCGGGCCTCCACCGACGTCTCGGGCAGACACCGTTCCGACACTTTCTTGGGTGCTCGACACATTCTCTGTTGGCCACACGGCTGAAGTCGGTTGGAACATCACAAACGCAGTGCAGTGGAGAATAGAACGCAAAGAACAGAAACCAAAAATGGTAGATGAGGAAAGGCGGTTGCCCAATCCGCCACACGCTGCTCTCGCACAACCCCCAGCGCCTGGTCGTTACAGGTTACGTACGAGCATCTGCTCGTCCTATCCCGTGGAACGTGTCGCTTCCCTGATCCTTCCTCTACTGCTGCTGCTGCTGCTCCTTCTCCTCCTCCTTCCTCACCGCTCCTCCACAGACAGCCTGCGCAGCCTGGGACGTATTATCATTATCCTGCTGCCTTGTCCTCCTCCTCCTCCTCCTTCTCCTCCTCCTCCTCCTTGTCCTCCTCCTCCTCCTCCTCCTCCTCCTTGTCCTCAACCTAGTCCTCCTCCTCCTCCGCCTCCGCCCCCTCCTCCCCCTCCTCCTCCTCCTCCTCCTCCTCCTCCTCCTCCTCCTCCTCCTCCGCCTCCTCCTCCTCCTCCTCCTCCTCGCTGGGAACCCCATAGGACCAGCCCAAGCACACTACGCCCACGCACAGCCTGCTGCTCACCGAACAGGATCCCTTCGTCCGCAACGCCAGCCTCTGCGTTCCCCCCCTTCCCGTCGGGGGCTCTGGCGGCACGGCGTGCACGCCCGCAGCATTGCCGCCCCACTTCTTGCCGTTCTTGAAGAAGCGGACGAACCTGCGGAGTCAGAACGCACTCGCGCCTGCCGTGCCTCAGGCTCAATCAGTGGGGGTGTAACTGAAGGGGCCCTGGGACACACAGAAACAGAGACAAATCCGAGGATCCCCCTATGCTTGCTCATACTTTCGGTCTTCGTCTTCCCACCCGCTTCCCATAGTTTCCGATGTTTTCTGGGGAATCGACGATCACTTGTGTCTGTGTTTTTCCTGACTACCTACCAGACCACCCCAACTCAACCCGAACACCCGAATTTCGAATTTCGGGGGGGGGGGGGAAGGGTTCCATATGTGTTTTTTCGATGTTTCCCGACCCCCCCACACTGGAAATCGAGGGCAAATCTGAGCCTTCGGGTTGGGTTGGGGTGGTTTGGTGGGTGGTGATTTTCCCCCTCCTGAGCAACGTCAGAGGGGGGGGACCCGCTCAGAGAAGGGGAACCCTCGAGCTGGAACGGGCGACGCATCGCCCACAGATCGGCGGGGAGCCACCGATGGCGCAGCGAAACCGCAGGCTCCGGGGGGCGGGGTGGGCCGTCGGGCCCCGCGGGGCGACGCATGGGCGACCGGGGGCCGACGCAACCGTGACGCAAAACCTCTCCCCGGCGCTGCACCCGAAGCAGGAGGGAGTGCCCACGACTGCCGTGCCACAGGCTCGAGGAGGCCCGGCTGGAAGGCCCAGGGGCCACCGGCCCGGGCCCGAGGTGCCCGCCAGGGCTTACTGGCCGGGCTCGGAGCTGTCCAAGGCTCGGTCGTCAGATGTGGCGGATCCCCCCGGAGACTCCGACGCCGTGGCTCGGAGGCGCGTCTGGAGGGGAAGTGGTAGGGGTCGGGCGAAGGGGCCCAGGGGCACACAAAGAACTGCACCTCTGAAGAGGAAGTGACAGAGGGCAGGTGAGGGGGCCCTGAAGAGGACGTGGCAGGGAGCAGGTGAAGGGACTCAGGGACACACAAAGAAATACACGTCTGAAGAGGAAGTGACAGGGGGTAGGTGCAGGGGCCCAGGGACACACAAGCAAAAGCACACGGATCCCACAATTTTGCCCCGTGTATCCTCATGTTTTCTGGGTTACCCTCTTCCCCCCCACTTCCCAAATTTTCCAACATCCTCTTGGGGGATCGACGACTAGCTTCGCCTGGGTGTTTCTCTCGCCCCCTGTGTAGGCCGGGGCTTCGAATGCTAATCAGAAAGCGCATCCAGCGGGCGCAAGCCTCTAAGACTTGAGCAGGGACCGACATTTCTATAGTCATACCACGAAATTTTCTTAGAACCCATAAATGTTCTAAGAACAATAATCGTGACGTTACTGGCCCCCTCGTCCCCCCCCTGCCCCCCTCTGGTAACGATCGTCATCGCCTGGGAAAAAATCGTTCCCTACTTTCAATATACCCGGAACCCTTCGGGCCCGACCCGCACCAGCACGCCCAGCGTGTCGCCGACCTTCGGTTGCGTCGCGCCAGCCCGAAAGGCCCGGAGAGCCAGGAGGGCAGGACAAAACCCTGCTGAGGGCTCCCCCCTGGCCCTATTCCTCCTCCTCCTCCTCCTCCTCCTCCTCCTCCTCCTTCTCCCCCTCCCCCTCCTCCTCCACAATTACTGAATATGAATAGTACTCTCCCTCTTCCCCCGAAGGCGGCCTGAAAACATTCGACCCCCCACGCGTACTGTTTTTTTTTACACGCAGGATTCCCGAGAGTTGGGTTTTCGCCTGCGTTGTTTTTCAAAATGCTGCTCTCGCTGAGGCGCCGGCCTCATTTCTGCTCCCGAATCGTTCCGAATCGTGCTCCCGCTGCAGCGTGGGTCTCATTTTTGGATCGGTGTTTTGCCTCCGTCGTTCAGGATGGCGTTCTCGCCCCAGCGCGGGCCTCTTTCTCGCGCGCCCATACGCCCAGTACCACCGCGCCGCACCACGCCTCGCCCCGCCGCACGCACACCCACCGCCACTTCCACCCACCAGCGCACGCACGCACGCACGCGCACCACCACCGCGCACCGCCGCCACCACCGCACTACCCCACCCACCACCACCACGCTACACCGCGTCACACCACATCACACGCGCGCACACACAGACACGCACGCACGCACGCACGCACGCACGCACGCACGCAGGCAAGCACGCACGCACGCCCGCCCGCACGCCCGCCCGCCCGCCCGCCCGCCCGCCCGCGCGCGCGCGCGCACGCACGGACGCACGCACGCACGCACGCACGCACGCACGCACGCATGCACGCACGCACGCACGCACGCACGCACGCACGCACGCACGCAAACACACACACACACACAACACACACACACACCACACCACACCACACCACACCACACCACACCACACCACACCACACCACACCACACCACACCGCAACACAACACAACACAACACAACACAACACAACACAACACAACACAACACAACACAACACAACACAACACAACACAACACAACACAACACAACACAACACAACACAACACAACACACACACACATACACGCACACACACACACACCACCACCGCCACCACCACCACCGCAATCACGCACGTACGCACCTGGCCCACCACCAAACCACCAAGACGCCACACCACGTCACACCACAGCACACGCGCACACACGCACACACACAATCATACACACCACCACCACAACAACCACAACCACGCACACACGCACGCACGCACGCGCACCACCACCCACTACGCACACGCGCGCGGAACCACAGGTCCGCTACGACACGAGTCCGCGGATAGAGAAATTCAGCGCCATGGTAGGGGATGGGAGGGAGGGGTAGGATGTCAGATGTTGACGCGAACACACCTAACTTGTCCTCCTCCCCTTCCCCCTCCTCCTCCTCCTCCTCCTCCTCCTCCTCCTCCTCCTCGTCCTTTTCCACGTCCTCCTCCTCCTCTTTTTCCTGCTCCTGCTGCTGCTGCTCCTGCTCCTGTTCTTGCTCCTGTTGCTCCTCCTCCTCCTCCTCCTCCTCCTCCTCCTCCTCCTCTCCCTCCTCCTCCCTCCTCCACCTCCTCTCCACGTCCTCCTCCTCCTCCTCCTCCTCCTCCTCCTCCTCCTCCTCCTCCTCCTCCTCCTCCTCCTCCTCCTCCTTCTCCTCCTCCTCCGCCTCCTCCTCCTCCTCCTCTTCCTGCTCCTCCTGCTGCTCCTCCTCCTCCTCCTCCTCCTCCTCCTCCTCCTCCTCCTCCTCCTCCTCCTCCTCCTCCTCCTCCTCCTCCCCCTCCTCCTCCTCCTCCTCCTCCTCCTCTCCTCCTCCTCCTCCTCCTCCTCCTCCCCCCCTCCTTCCTGTGCCGCCACCTCCTCCCCGTCCTCCGTCCCCCTCCCCCTGGTCCTCCTCCTTGTCCTCCTCTTCCTCCTGTTCCTCCTCCCCGCTGCCCTTCCGCCTTATGGATGCATCACACTTCCCAAGGCATTTCGCCGGAAACGTCCCCACCAGTTATGGCCCTAGGACATTGGATGTTGCAACTGTGCCAAAGACGAGGGCAGATTGTTTCCACGAAGTGGGGCTAGCACCTGTTTCGAATTATCGAGGGCGGTTCCTTTTCCAATATGTGCCTCCCACCACTTCGCGGCGAGCGAAGGGGGAAAGTGAGAAGGAGTAGGCCTTCTCGGAAGGCTGAGAAGTCCCACGGCCATCTGAGATGATAGGTTTTCTAAACCTTCCCCGAAGACGCCGACAACTTCTCAGAAGGCCGGAGGGTTTCTGAAAGGCCCCGCCGCCTTCTGAGAAGGCCTTCTCCGTCTCACTTCCCCCCTTCGTTCGCCGCCAAACCATCCGCCCCGCGCACATTTGTCTTGAAAGTTCGCCACAGCTTTCGGGATGGAGGGCGGGCCGTTGCCAAAATTAGGTTCTCGGCCGAATTAGCGCCGCGTACGCATGACATGCAAGCTTGCAAGAGCTTCGAGGACTGACGGGACGGTCGCCTTTAAAGCGAAGTTCTCGCCTTAGCGCCGCGAGCACTCGCCATATAAGTGTGCCACATGTTCACATATGGATCGTGGGCCATTTGCAAAAACAGGCTTCTCGTTTTCTCGTTTCCGCGCCATGGACATGTGTGTTCGCCATATGCTACATCTTCATTAGTTCGAAGAGGCGTCTTTTTTTTTAGGTGGGCCTGCCTTCTTAGCGCCCTCGCATCCGTCTGCACAGTGCGCCGCAAATTGAGCGAAAGGGGGTGGGTCGTGTAGCACTGCACGCACGCGTCGGGGGCGGCCCCGTGTCAACATTGAGCTCCCGGGTGCGACGTCCCTGGGCGTCATGACCACACGTGTAGAATTGCGGAACATGTACGCACGCGTGAGAACGGGGTCTTTTGCAAAGCGAAGATATCGCTGTACGCCGGCTTTGGATGGTGGAGTCTCAATATTTCCGCACATGGCCAATCCTTTCGGTTTAAAGTTTAGGGTTTAGGGTTTCACCCTAAACCCTGAACAACCGTCTTTCACATATTAATCTAAACCCTAAACGAAAAATGTGTTTTGGCGTCCGCCATGGGGGGTTAATTCCTAAACTCCTTACGATCATCCATGAAAAAATGCGGCGCGGCGCGCATCGCCATGCGAAGCGAACTCCTGAACTCGCACGATCCTCCATTAGAAATGCGGCGCGGGCCACTTCCCGCGCGCGCGGCCGAAGGGGGCGAATTCCTTGCCCCTCGCGATCCTCCATCAAAAATGTGGCGCGGGACACATCCCATCCGCGCGGCTGAATACTCCCGTGGCCCCGCCTCTGGGGAACTGAACCCTAAACCACTCACGATCATCCATTGAACATGTGGTGCGGCGCACATCGCCGTGCGACGCGCATCCCTAAACTCGCGCGATGCTAAGTTAGAGCTGCCGCGCGAGCTACATCCCGCGCGCGCGGCCGAAGGGAGCGAACTCCGTGCCCCATCGCGATCCTCAGTTGAAAATGAAACGCGGAGCACATCCCACCCGCGCGGCTGAGTACCCCCCACATCCCGCCGCGCGTTCCTTTGCGGTTCCTCATGCCTGCTGTTCCTCCCGCGTGCTCCGCGCTGCTCCTTCCTGTTCCTCGCTGATCCACGCGGCCTCCCCCGATGGCTTGCATGCGCCGGAATGTGTCTTGATATGTAATCGGTTTCGAAGGTGGGTGGGATGTGGGTACCGCGCCAGTGTGTGACACGTCCAGTATGTTGACATGTTCGCGCTTTTGTTGACCCTAAATTCTTCATCGTATAAATATTAAACCCTGATCACCGACACCCCATGCCTCCTCACGGAGATCGTGTGGCCAACCCCGCCATCCCTGGTAAAAATTACGATGTCCTGATCATGCATGCAGAATCCATTGCGATTTGCACTACAAATGCGCGTCCGCGGACGCAAACCCTTGCCATCCCTTATTTCCTGATCGTGCGTGCATAATCCATCCCAGACGCTCCCAAGTGCTCCCCTGCGTTCCCAGGCGCTTCCAAACGTTCCCAGGCGCTCCCAGGCGCTCCCAAGCGCTCCTAGGCGCTCTCCGCGCTCCCAGGCGTTCACAAGTTCGCTCCCGAACGCCCAGGCGCTCCCAGGCGCTCCCAAGTGCTCCCAGGCGCTCCCAGGCGCTCCCAGACGCGCCCAGGCGCTCCAAGGCGCCCCCGAACGCTCCCAAGCGCTCGTGGGCTCTTGCCAAGTCCCAAGAGAGCGCCGCACGGGCACGAGGATTGCATGCGCTTCCGGGCGTTCCCAAGTGCTTCCAGGCGCTCCCAGGCGCTCCCAAACGCTCCCGGGCGCTCCCAGGCGCTCCCAGGCGCTCCCAGGCGCGCCAAGGCGTTCCCAGGCGCTCCAAAGCGCTCTCAAGCGCTCCCATTCATTGTGATTACAACGAGGGGAGAGATGATCTTTATGGTGGGGTGGCTTGCGGGTGGGACTGGAAGCCGCCGCAGGTGGGCTCCTAGGCAGGAGGGGGTCACCTGCGGCAGAGCCTGTAGACACTAGATCTCTAATCCTTATAATTACTAAACCCGAAAGACTTCCTCCCCACGCGTCCCTATGGCATCCGAACTCCCTGAATCGAGCCTCGTATGGGGATCTCTACGGCCCGCTATGTAAACCACCCACAATCCTATGCAAAAAACAATATAAACTGATCATGCGTGCTCCCAGGCGCACCCCTGGATCGAGCCTGCTATGGAGATCTTTACGACCCGCTGCGTAAACGCGCGGCAGCCGCGCGCGCCTCGCAGCGAAAATCCTTTAGTTTCTCATAGGGAACTGCTGCCCCGCGTGGTGCAACTCCTCACCCTGCCGTAGGGATTCACTCTCCCGCGTGGTGCGAACCCTCATCCTGCCGTCGGGATTCACTCTCCCGCGTGGTGCACACCCTCACCCTGCCGTAGGGGTTCACTCTCCCGCGTGGCGCGAAGCCTCCCGCTAAGCGTTTGCTTTGCTATGCTATGCTATGCTACAGCCACGGTATAACATGAGAGGAGACATGATCTTTATGTGGGGGTGGAGATGCGGGGGGGATTGATAGCCACCGCAGGTGAATGCCTATGCAGGTAGGTATTCCTGGCCTTGCCCTGTTAGACCCTAAACCCTAAACCCTAAACCGACCCCACGTTTCCCCTCCTCCTGCTCCTCTTGGTCCTCCTCCTGGTCCTCCTCCTGGTCCTGCTCCTGGTCCTCCTCCTGGTCCTCCTCCTGGTCCTCCTCCTGGTCCTCCTCCTGGTCCTCCTCCTCCTCCTCCTCCTCCTCCTCCTCCTCCTCCTCCTCCTCCTCCTCTTCCTCTTACTCCTCCTTCTCCTCCTGCGTACACATCTGAGATTCCATGGACAAGGCGCGCACACATCTGCTCTCCCAGCAAACCAACAACTTACAGTGGGCGCTGACCCACGGCGCCCGTTGCGTCTGCACCTGGCGTTCCCTTTGGATGCTCTGCAGGGCTCTCGGTTCTCTTCTCCTGTCTCGCTCCCCCCGCCCCGCTGCTGCTGCTACTCCCCCATCATATTGCGGACCTGCCTCTTCGGAGGCCTGCCATGCTATGTTTGGGTCGGGCGTGTCCCCCTACATGGGGGATGTGGGGCGAAACATTAAAACATAGTCAAAAATACCCCAAAATACTCAAACATGGTCAAACAATCGTCCCCAGGCTATGTTGTGACTATTTATGAAATATTCCTCCTGTAGAGGGACAGGCCCGACTTAATACTATGTCATATGGCATGACATGTCCCTCCAGTCCATTTGGCAGCCAAACCCTCACGGGGAGGGGCTCGCACGCGGTCGCAAGCCCCTCTCCAACACGCCCTCCCTCTTCCTTTTTTTTCCCGTGCTCCCTTCGCTATTGCTGCTCTTGCTCCTGCATTTCCTCCTCCTCCTTTTCCTCCTCCTCTTCTTTCTCCTGTTTTACTTCCTCTTTCCAGCCTGGGTGCATGCAGATCTACTGCTGGGGTCCCCGGGGGTCCTCAAGGAGGTCGGGGGCCACCAGATTTGGACGCCCCCATGTGTCCCTCCGGAAGCTGAAAAAGAAAGAAAACAAAAGCACTCAGAAACCTCGTCCACCATATCTGTCCCCCGTACACCCTGCAACCCGTCCCGATGCGCTCCCCCGTCTCCCTCCCCGATCCAGGAGGGAGGAGGAGGAGAGGAGGAGGGCGGGGGGAAGAGGCAAAATGAGGCGCAGGAGGGAGGATGAGAAAAAGCAGGAGAAGGAGGATGAGGAGGAGGAGGGGGAGGAGGAGCAGGAGGAGAAACGGGAGGAGGACAAGGACAAGGACAAGGACATCTGCATAAAAAAGGGGGTCACGTCAGGGCACCTCCTCGGGCGAGCTACGCGCTAGTGCCAAAATCCCCTACGATTTGTTGTGCCACAACCCTGCTTTCTCAGTAGGGCCGGCAGGGGGCGTACCCCGTAGCTCAAGGACCGAGCTCCGAGGTGACCCCGTAAGGGAGGCTCGCTACCTTACATCACGAGTCCCATCGGGTCAATGCGGGGGGAGCAGCTGCTGGCCCTTCCGCGCGCCCTAGGGGAGGGGGCGCGCGGGCTTAGCAGGGCGCCCAAGCCAAGGGGGGAGGAAACGACGACGCGGCCTCAAAAGGAGGAGAGCGGGGAGAGACGGAAGGCCCGAGACCCCAAACTGTTGCTGGGGGGGGTGCTCCTATCTCCACAGTTTGAGTTCCGTGATCCCCTCTCCCACTGAGCTCACTTCTCGGTCGAAAGAGAGGGAAGGGGAGGGAGCGAGAGACGGAGAGATCATGGAAAAGGAGGCTTGCCACACACACGCCCCGTGCAGCTGACATCCCACAGCGCGGATCCAAGAAATTCGCGCGGACCTCCGATGTTTTATGTATGTTTACGTCGTTGTTCGTTCCCCTACAAAGGCCACTCAGATGGTGGAACAGATGCACAACCGCACCCAGAGGGGAAAGCAGAGGTCAAGGGAGAAATCGACGCGCCGCAGCGGAGGGGGCACGCAGCATGCCCAACGACCGATCAGCCCGACGGTGGCAGCGGCAAGGAGGGCGAGAGGAGGAAGAGGGCGAGGAAGGAGACGAGAGGTCGAGGAGGTGCCCCCCTCAACGAACTGCTCGTGGGACGCACAGAGACATACCAATACCGTGTGTCCCCGCGCTGCCGGTCGTCCAGTCGGCCCGAGGCTCCCGGCCCCTTCGCTCGCTCCTGGCCTCTCTCTGCCGCATACCCTCCCCTGGAAGGACCACGGCATCGGGACCCACACCTCGGCTACGTACCCTCCCCTGGAAGGACCGCGGCATCGGGACCCACACCTCGGCTGCTGATTTGTTCGGAACGGTGTCCCGAGGCTTGTGGGAGGTCGCTGTCCTTCCCTTGTCGCCACGGCTTCCAGGGAGGCACAGGCATGAGTGCGCGTGGATGGGCGAGGGCCCCCCCCTCCTCCCTCCTTGCTCCAGAGGCGCAGGGGAGGCCTCCTCCTCCTCCTCCTCCTCCTCCTCCTCCTCCTCCTCCTCCTCCCCCTCCTCCTCCTCCTCCTCCTCCTCCCCCTCCTCCCCCTCCTCCTCCTCCTCCTCCTCCTGCCTGCCCCGAAGCCCGGGCACGGTGGCCGAGGGCCGACGCCGCAGTTAGATCCGCCCTACACTTTTGTTCTCCGCGTCGGAGGTCTGGGGGGCCGAGGCCGTCTCCTCCTCCCCCTCCTCCTCCTCCTCCTCCTCCTCCTCCTCCTCCTCCTCCTCCTCTCCTCCTCCTCCTCCTCCTCCCCCTCCCCCCCCTCCCCCTCCCCCTCCCCCTCCCCCCTCCCCTCCCCCTCCCCTCCCCCTCCCCCTCCCCCTCCTCCTCCTCCTTCCTCTCCTCCTTCTCCTCCTCCTCCTCGTCCTCCCCTCCTCCTCCTCCTCCTCCTCCTCCTCCTCCTCCTCCTCCTGGCCCCTGGCTGGGCGAGAAGGGTTTCCCTTGGTGTGCGGGCAGGCTGCCCTGGTCCTGCTCCATCGCTCCCGCTCTCTGGGCACGCCCTCCTCTCCTCCAACTGCTGCTGCTGCATCTGAGCTACTGTCCAATCCACGCCAGCAAGAGGAGTTCGGGCCTGCTTGAACACGTGTATATCTTTGTACAAATAGTATACACAGGAGCGACAAGAAAGAACGAGAGAGAGAGAGAGAGACAAAAAAAAACAACAGCAACAGCAACAGCAACAGCAACAGCAACAACAACAACAACACATGACAGGCATACGTGAACATACACAAACAACCAGACTGGAAAGGTACATATCAACTCCTGCTCGTGCGCTCCGGCTGCTGCTGCTGCTGCTGCTGCTGCTCCTTCCCAGCCTTGAACGAATTGAAGCCGCCTCCCTCGTTGGGCTCCGTCCAATCGCCCTGTCCAATGGGACCCCCTTTGCGCATGTCCAGGAAATACGCCTGCGTGCTAGAAAAGGCAAATGAGGAATGAAGGGGACGGGAGGAGGGTGAGGAAGTGGGCAAGCCATCTATGGAGGAATGCGAGGAAAACGATACCAGGGACCAGGGAGGGAAGAAGGACGCGGAGGGAGGAGGGGGTGGGAGGAGAGATAATTTTGAGGGAGAGGGGCGTCATGGAGGGAGGAGGGGAGGGATGGAAGAGCAAACATGCCTCCATGTTGGAACTGCTGTTGTGCCATCCGTTTAGTCTCAAGTCCGGCTTCATGACGATCGCGCCGATAAAACTGCAGACGGCCCCGTCCTTCTCACGGCCACTCAGCACCCGCAGCTCTGCGTAGACAGGGCCGGTGGTGTCGTCCGCGACCACGTTGGTCAACGACAGACTGGGCTTGGCAGGGGCGCCGAACGCCGGGTCGAAGTCCTCCGAGTCGGAGCCGTCCGACCTCCGGCTGCTCTTGGCCGAAAAGTCCCCCCCCGAGCAGGGCGAGTTCATGGGCGAGCCCCTCGGCGAGGTCTGGGGCGAGCCTCGGGGCGAGGTCCTGTGGAGGGGCCCAAGGACACACAAATAAATACACGCAAGTAAAGAAATCCCCCATATTTCCCCATATTTTCGGGGTTTCTGTCTTCCCCCCCACTTCCCATAGTTTCCAATATTCTCTGGGAATCGACGATTAATTGTGTCTGTGTGTTTCTTTCCCTCCTGGTCCTAGGGCTGAGCCGCTCGAGCCCGGGCGCCTCCACCGACAGGCGGCTCGGCGACCTGCCCGCGGGGGCGCCCGCGCTGGGCCGCCCCCGCGGCGCGTCCCACGTGGGGCGGGCCGTGGAGGCCGCCGCCGCCGCGGCGCGCCGCGGGGCCACGGCGTCCGCGACGTGCGTCGTGACGGTGGAGTGCTCCCCGGAGATCACGGCCGCCTTCCCGGCGATCTTGAAGAGGGGCCGGGGGGGAGGCTCGACCTCGGCGGCGGGCGAGAGGGGGGTGGAAGTGAGGAGGAGAGGGCCTGCTCAGAGCCCAGACCTAATTATGTTGTTGTTCCCATCCTACTTAAAGGGCCGCATCCCAGAAATAATGTCGAGCACCCGAAAAAGTGTCAAAAGAGTGTCGAAACAGTGTCGAAACAGTGTCGGGCGAGTGCCTCCCAGGGCCCGACAGGTGAAAACCCTTGAGTTTCGGTACTCTGTTGGGCGCTCGAAATTCTTCCTGGTGATCAAGGCTACAGTAGGTCAGAACATCATACGCCCAGACCTGATCTCGTCGTGACAAACATCGGGGCGGGAGGCTGTTGGCTATGTTCAGCTCCGGGAGGCCCTCGCCGGGTCCCGTGACCGTCAAAAAACGACTCAGAACGAAAAACCGGTCCCAGGGAAAGGGCTGGGACTTCCAGGGACGCCGTCCTGAAAACATCAGGACGTCGCATGTCTGGGAAGACGGCGGGGCTTCGCAGAGGCAGGCCCCCGCGCCTCCTGAGAGGTTTTCGCAATGTCTTCGGGGAAGGCTTATGGAACACTGCTCGGAAAGCCGCGGGGGACTCCCGAGCCTTCTGAGAAGGCCCGCCCCTTCCCACTTCCCCCCCGTCGCTCGCCGCCGGCGACCACCCTCAGCACTATCAGCCCGTCGGTCTGCGCCTTCACCTCGGCGGGGCGGCGTGGGGCCGCAGCAGGCCTGGGCCTCGTGGCCCGTGGCCCTTACAGAGGCCGGCCAGCCCTGCTGGCGACGCGAGGCCTTGGACCAGGACAGCCTGGGCCAGAAAACAAACGACACCACCCCACCTGCGGCCCACCGGGGCTTATTGTATACCAGGAGATCAGGAATGGATTTTAGCGTGGCATACGCTACGGCACCCGGTGGGCCGTAGCGCAACATGGAAGGCCGTAGGTGGGGTGGTGCCGTCTGTTTCTTGGTCGACCGTCAGGGGCACATCTTCTGCGCGACGTGGACTGCATCCAGCCGCCCCTTGGCTCACTGTTTCGAGGCGCGTCCACGGGTCGCGAATGGCGAGAGGGCAGTGCAACTGCAGCACATCCGAAGCCACACACGCACACACGCTCTTGCGTCCACCGCCGCTGTGCACCACAAGCGTGCACACGACTACCTCGGGCTGACACTTCCACGCGCATGCACTTCCACAACAACGAATGTTGCCTCCTTCCTCCTGCGAGGTGGCGGCACCGTCGCGCGTACTTGAGCGGTACGCATTCACAGCAAGAGCCGCACGAACAAACACACACGCTCTCTCTCTCTCTCTCTCTCTCTCTCTCTCTCTCTTTCTCTCACGCACACACACTTGCTTCGGCGGCTAGGCAGAGTGACTTTGAGTCGGACGTGCACATGCGAGATAAGCCGCGATGCACGGGGGAGAGAGAGGAAACGCCCAGCGAAGGCAGGAGGGAGGGGGAAGCCGAGCCCGCTCAGGCGGGGCCAGGCGGCGGCAGGGCGGGGCCAGGGGGCCCGTGCTCCAGTAGGAGCTGTGCGGCCCCTCTGCTGGTCGGCGGCCTCGCAGAGGGGCTTGGGGTCTCCGCCTCTGAGCGCTGGCAGAAGGCCTGTCAACGGGCCGTGCTGGGGGAGCAGTGCCCAGCAGAAGCTGGCAGGAAGGTGTGCACGCAGCGCCCGAGGCCACGGGATGCTGGGCATCCAGGCTGGTGGCGACCAGCGAGGGCCCACCGTAAGGGAGGGGGCCGGCTCGAAATCCGGGCACCGCGGAGGGGAGGGCGCGCGGGGCGGGGCGCGGGCGGCAGGACCAGCCCAGGCCCCAGGCGGCGGGGGGCGGGGAGGGCGGCCCGGCCCAGGGCGGAGGCCGCAGGGCCGAGGCAGCCCGAGCGGCAAAGCTGCAGAGAAGCCAAAGCCGCACCGAGGGAGCCGAGGTCACACGCGTGGCCAGCGTGGCGGTGGGTGGCGGCGAGAGGAGGCCCCTCCCAACGGATGGGGGGCTCGGGCGGAGGAAAACACGGCGGGCGCGGCAGCGGGGAGCCGCGAAGGCCACGGCGCACCCGCGCGGGCGGAGGAGGAGCCAAGTGCCAAGGGAGAGGGGATGCCGAGAGGCCGCAAGCCGCGAAACCCTGGCCGGCGGTGACCGTTGCAGGGCCTGCCCTGCGGAGGGGTCGGCCTGGAGACCAGCCACCGCGCAGGGCGAGTGGGGCAGGCCACGGGCGTCAGAACCGGCCCAGACCCCGGGAGGGGGCGGGATGGACGGCCCCGCCGGGGGCGGGTGCCGCGGGGACGAGCCGACCCGAGGCAGCAAGAGATGCAGGAGAGCCAGCAGCAGAGGGAGCCGAGGTCATCCGAGACCTGCGTGGCGGTCGGCGATGGCAGCAGCAGGCACCCCCGAGGAGGGAGGGGGGTGGCCCAGGCGAGGCAGGGCGGAGAGCGACGAACCGCGGAGGCAGCCGCTTGGGGGGGGGCGCCGGACGGGTGACGTAAAGCGAAGACCAGAGGCAGGGTGGGGCGGAGCGCCCGGGGAACGGTCTACCAGGGGTGTGGAGGCACCGCGACAATGCGGACTCCGCATCCAGGGGCGCGGAAAAGGGCGGAGGCGCGACTGCCAGCGGGCCGGAAGCGCCTCAGCCGCGCAACGCGGGGCGGAGCGAGGGCCCGAGGCACCCGAGGAGGGCGGCGGGGGGCAGCGGGGCAGGCAGCCCCCGCGGGCGGAGGGAGGGCGGCGCAGGGCGCACCCCCCGGCACCACCCGCCCGCAAGACCCGACCCACTCCCTGGGGCTGGCTTTCCATCGCGGCTCGTGGTCTGACGGTGCCGGGGCCCGGCGGGGGCCCCCAGGAGCTGCCCACGGCCAGAAACCTCCCCCTTCCGACGTCTCCCTCTTCGTATTCTCCTTTTGCATCCCGTCCCGCTCCTCCCCTCCTTTCCTCCTCCTCGTCCTCCTCCTGTGCCTCCTCCTGTGCCTCCTCCTCCTCCTCCTCCTCCTCCTCCTCCTCCTCCTCCTCCTGTCACGACGCAAGCACGTCTGGGGAGCGGAGTTCGTTGTGTTCGTCGATGTCTCCGTCGTCGTTGTCTTCGTCGTCGTCGTTGTCGTTCGCAGCTGTTGGTCGGTCGGTCGGTTGGTCTGTCGTCGTCCGTCTGTCGTCGCCGTCGGTCGTCGTCATCGTCGTTCGGGCGTCGTTGGTCGGCCGGTCGGTCGGTCGGTCGGTAGTCGTTGCCGTCGTCGTTGTCTGTCGGTCGGTCGTCGTCGTCGTTCGTGGCCGTCGTCGTCGTCGGTCGCTCGGTCGCTCGGCCGCTGGGTCGCTCAGACATTTTCGTTCGGTCTGACGGTTGGTCGGTCGTTGCCGTCGTTGTCATTCGTCGGTCGTCGCCGTCGGTCGTTGTTCGGTCGGTCGGTCGGACGGATTTAGCGGCTGTCGCATGAGTGGGCAGCTAGAGCGAGGCACGCCTCCACCACGGCCTTGAACTTAGTAGAACCATGACTTATGCAGGACGGAAAATTGTCACCTTGAGGTGAAAACGGCGATGAGGAGTTCGCGAGACAACATCGGCGCCGCTGAATGTACGGCGTCTGGATGAGTTGTTGGCAGCAACCGGGAGGAGAGACGTGTATTCATATTGAGTGGGGCCCGTGGGCGCGGAGAGTTGATGGGAGTGCGCGAGACAACGCAAGACCCGTCCTGGGAATCTTAACACGGGCGGGTTGCGATTCCGAGCTCTGCGGATCTGATTTCTTCCGGTTCCCCGCTGTAATGTGATAGCATACATCTCACAGGTGGGTAGAAATCGGGTCAATGCGCAAAAACAGGACGGGCATCGGATCCACAACATCCGAGAAGTGTGCGGGCGGAAGTCGCATCAGCCAGAACCCAAACTGGATCGGCACAAACCGAATGGGATCCGACGGCGGTTAATCCATACGCGTCGGCTCAAAACCTCAAACCAACGTTCTGGGCCCAAGCTGAAAATCTTCTGTCCTGGGAATGTAAAAGGACCTCGTCAAAATTCTCTCGGGAGCGGCCAAGAGGGGGGTGTCCAAGACGGGGGGGGGGGGGCAAATCATGACCGTCGGCATGTGCGCGGCCCAGCGGGGGGGCCCGGGACGTAATGAAACAAGAAGAGGCGCCATGAGATCTGGGGAACTATCATGGCCCACGCCATGATATCCCCCCCCCCTAGTCATCACCCCCCTCTTTTCCGCCCCCGAATGTAAAAGGACCTCGTCAAAATTCTCCCCCACAAAGGAATCCACTGCCTGCAAGGCCGGTGTTTCATCGGGAGTCGTGTTCGACAGTCCCAGGGGCCCGTTGCGGGCCCCTCGGAGCCGAGAACAGCGAAAAACTGGCCGCTGCAATCTCTTCGGAGCCTCGGCCCTCTGGGACACGCCCCTCCCCAACGGCGCGGATGTCTCGGGTCGGGCGAAAGGGGGGGATAGCAAAGGGGGGGGTTTGAGAATCAGCTCACGTAGCTGATTTTCCCGGCGCCTCACGGCGCCGGAGGCGCCCATGTATCGAGGAATGGGCCCCTCGGTGAGGCCGAAACCAGCTGCATGCAGCAAATTTCGTAACCCCCCCTTTCCCTATCCCCCCCTTTCGTCCGGCCCGACTCCCCAACGGCGCGGATGTCGGAGCCAATCGCTGCCGACCTCGAAGCCGAGCGCAACGATGCAAGACCTCGAAACCGATGGCTGCAAGCTAGGTTCGGCGCGGCGTCGCCGATCCGGTTGCCCTTCCACACTTTGAGCCTTCGGGGCGAAAGCACATAAAGATACCAGCACCGCTTCTCCTCGGGAAAAACACAACAAACACAGTGTGTTTTTTCCCACAGCCCCCCTCCCAAGGTGCCCACCGACCATGACGAAAAGACGAGTTTGGCTGTTCAGACCCCCCCCGTGCCGCGAAAACATCACGACCCAGACGATTGACCAGAGAAGTCCCCATAACCCTTTGGGAGGCATAGGGGTTCTTGTCTGCAGAGATATCAGAACAAACCGATCAGAAGTATTACCCTAATTCGAAGACGGGGACCTCAGTGAGGCCACGTCTTCATCGTGCTATTAGGATTAGGGATTATTTTGTGCTCGAAGACCAGAGATCCAAGGCTCCACTAAAAATTGGAGCGGCTCTTCCTGTTGCGATATTCGGCCTCGGTGGGGCCTCCACGCGCCCAAGGACCGTCAAACAACTTCTCATTATTAGCTGCATCCTGTCCAGACATTGGGGTCCACGCAGAGAAAATATTGGATCGCCGGATATCTGGGGACAGAGGGTGCTTCTTCGTTTTCTGACTCTGTTGAGCCCTGCCAGGCCCCAGGACCGGCAGAACACCCCGACTCAGGACGAAAAGCCGTTCCTGAATGGGGCAAGTCACGGGAGCCTCCCATACCGTCTTGTTAGCTCTTGCGAATCGACGCTGATCGACGCCAACCGACGCTAAATCAACGCTAATCGACGCTAGACGATGCTAATCCGGCACAATCTCATCGACTCCCAGACGCTACTCGACGCGAATCGACGCTACTCGACGGAATTATGATAGGATGCGCCAGGCTCTCCTGCTTTGCTACCGGGGGAAGGGCTTCGGGAGCCGAACCTTGCCCGCAACTGCCCGCTTCCCCCAGGAGGCCTCCCAGATGGGGTCGGAGCAAATGGGGTCGGAGAATCGCGCCGCATCGCCGATGCATCGCCGATGTGTGTATGCCGTTGTGCACCCCCGATCATCCACGCCCCGTTTTATCCATGTCTGCGCTCGCCCGAGTGTCCGGAGCGGCAAAGAGGGGGGTGTCCAAGAGGGGGGGGTGCAAATCATGACCGGCGGCATGTGCGCGGCCCAGCGGGGGGGCCAGGGCCGTAATGAAATAAGACATGGCGCCATGAAATCTGGGGAATATCATGGCCCACGCCATGATATCCCCCCTCCCCTGGTCATCACCCCCCTCTTTTCCGCCCCCGAGAGTGGGGCGCGAGCAGTATAGCTCTCGCAGGGGCGCGCGGCTCTCCCGGGCCCGCGCTGGGGACCCCCCCCCCCCCCTCGCGGGCGAGGGGCGGCGCACGAGGCGCCGCCAGGGGCAGCCCCGGAAGCCTACAGTCGGGGCCTTGACCTAAGGAACCCTAAATAAGGAACGAGGCCCCTTTTTCGATTCCCCATCGACCTCCTCGTCCTCCTCCTCCTCCTCCTCGTCCTCCTCCTCCTCCTCCTCCTCCTCCTCCTCCCTCCTCCTCCTCGTCCCTCCTCCTCCTCCTCCTCCTCCTCCCTCCTCCTCCTCCTCGTCCCTCCTCCTCCTCCTCCTCCTCCTCCTCGCCCTCGTTCCTCCTCGTCGTCGTCGGCCCCCGTCGATAAGTTAACCTTCGATTCCCCATCGAAAACATAAGGAAAGCCTGAGGCAAGCTGTGAAACACTTAAGGAACACGGGACCCCTCCCCAACGAAAAGGGTTCCTTCTTCAGGGCCCCGACTGTACACTCAGAAGGGGCGGCGCTGGAGGCGCCGATCCAGGAACTCCGCGCGGAGCTCCGGAACTTTCGGTGCGTGCAGATGTTCCCCAGTCAGTGCTTGCACTGAAAGGATCCCAGCGGAAATTGATAACTTTGGCGGAAATTTCCCGCCAATATTTGGTAGCAGGCTGGGTTCCCGGGTGCCCTGTTCCGCGTTCCCGGGTTCCCGCTTATTGGTTATGGGCCGATTTCGGTGGGTTTTGGGTTCCCGGGCTCCCGGGTTCCCGGTCGATCTCTTCAGCGAAAACCATCCACAAATAGTTTGTTTTTTTCCTGGTGCAGTTTCTTCTTCGATTTGTTCAAGTGGGCGTTTTCTTACTCCACCGGCTTGAGACAGGCGCCAAAAACAGCCAAGATCTTCTCCAGGGGGAGAGGGGAAGATGGGGGGGTGCGAAGGCCCGCGCCGATCGGCAAAACAAGTAACAAGACAACGATCAACAATACGTTGGAAGTCTGGGTTGCTTTTTCGTTCCACGTCGCGAGGAGACAGCCTTGGCAACGGGAGTGTGGGGGTCGGGCGCAGGGTCCTGGAAGTGGTGGCTCTATGGGCCACGCATGCGCGATACAGCCTCGATTGCTGCGATCGGCGGGGGAATCAATTGAAACTCCCCGCCTGCACCCCTGCGCGAAACTTGACTGTAACGAAGCAAGGAGGCGGGGGGTTGGGAAGAGGCGACGAAGGCAACGTGCGCCGAGGGCGCAAGACGAGAAGGCTGGAATAAGCGATGGTAGCGAGATGAGTGCCCAAATCTGCCCAGCCAATCTGGCACGCGAAACGCTGCGCCTCAGTTCTGGGGAGCTTGAGGGCCAGGGCAAAATGTTAGTTCACATTGTGCGGGAGAGCAGAATGTGAATTCACATTGTGGGAGAAAAGAATATGTGAATTCACATTTTGGAAAACAATTTACCCAAGCGCGACCCAACCTAGAAGTTGGAGCCCCTAGGAATGCAGCATTAGTTGCTATGCTATGCTATGCTATGCTGCGCTATGCTATACGATGCTATGCTATGCTAGGCTATGCTATAATATGCTGCGCTATGCTACGCTATGCTCTGCTATACTAAGCTATGCTATGCTATGTCATGCTGCGCTGTGGTATGCTGTGCCATGCTATGCTATGATATGATGTGCTAAGCTGTGCCATGCTATGCTATGCTATGCTATGCTATGCTGTGCTGTGCTGTGCTATGATATGCTGCGCTATGCTATGCTATGCTATGCTATACTTGGCTGTGTTATGCTATGCTATGCTATGCTAGGCTATGCTAATGCAGCGCTGCGCTATACTAAGCTAAGCTAGCTAACCACCCCGACACGCGAGCCTGCGCTTCTAGCTTTCCTAGGTGCTCCAACTTCTTTGCTGTCGCTGCTGTTGCTTTGCCTTTGCTTTGCTGCTATACTATGCTATGCTATGCTCTGCTCTGCTATGCTATGCTATGCTGCGCTGTGCGATGATGTGCTGTGCTTGCTGCGCTATGCTATGCTATGCTATGCTACGCTGCGCTATGCAATGCTATGCTGTGCTGTGCTATGCTATGCTATGCTGTGCTGCGCTATGCTATGCTATGCTATGCTCTGCTGTGCTCTGCTATGCGAAAGCTCAGCGAAGCTAAGATGAAAGTAAGGTAAGCTAATATAAACCTGAGCTAAGATGAAGCTAAGCTAAGCTAACCTAAGGTGCAATAAGCTAAGCTGAGATGAGATAAGCAACGCTAAGCTAAGGGAACGTAACTGGGGGAACCGCGGGGCGGATGCCGGGGGAACCGCCCGGGGCGGGGAGCACTGCCCGGCCAGTTAAGCCGACAGGGTAAGAACCCTTCTAGGCAGAGCCTGGGTAGGGAAAAAAAGGAGTCTACATTTTGGAAATTTGCACCATATTCTGATTGATGGGGCCAGAAGATGAATTCACATTTTGGGAAAAAGGAGAATTTGAATTCACATGTTGGGAAAGATGGCCAAGGTGAGTTCACATGTTGGAAGAAGGGCGGGGCCCGTTCCAAATCTGTCTTAGGGATCGACAAGACATCGCTCGGGAACATACGCGATCATCAATCGTACAAGAAAGACACAACTGCATTCCACTTCGCCGTCCCACGTGCGACGTACAAGAACGCCCGCACGCATGAACAACTCTGGATGCGCGGTGCGTGTGCCCGCGCGGGCAGCGCGCGGGCATGAACGACGGGCCCTTAGATGAACTCCAACATTGGATGCCACTCGTACCCGATCATGTGCATTAGCGATAGATTGAGCACACATGAGCCGTTCGGCCCCAATCGCAGACCCCCTGCTGCGGACCCCTCCAAGGTTTCCTCCCCCGAGGCCTGTCCCCACTGGCGCCCGAGCCCAGCGACAGCACCTGCTGCCTCAGCGGGATGCCCCGCTCCTTCTCCAGGAGCTCAGCAATCCACCGGACCTCGAGAGGACGACGCGACGAGGACGGCGAGGAGGAGCGCCATTACCATGAGGGGTTCGATACCTCACATTACTCACCGCTGAGCTGCTGGTTTCGGACTCCTGTATGGCCGAGCGGCGTCAGTCAGAGGAGGAGGCAGGGAGTATTCGTTGGGCATCTTAGCCTGTGCACCACACAGGACGGCAAGGAGGAGGGGGGAGTACGACGACGACGACGCCCCGCCCCCTCTCAATGCCAGTTCGGCCCCCGACGTGACCTCTCCAGCGGGGGGGGTTAAAGTAGACCCCAAGCATTATCATTATCCTCCTCCTTCTCCTCCTGCTCGTCGTCAGCCCCGTCGTGGTGTCCTAGCATTGACACACCCGCCAGGGCTTGAGCCGCGTCGGCCACCGCCGCCCTCTCCCCTGCTTGTGGCCCTGACAATGTTAGGTTAGGAGGAGAGGTGCCGAAACGCATCCCTGGGCTCAGCAAGGCATGAGGGTGTTGTCTGGCTGCTGCTCTGGAGCGGGGTCTCTTCCCAGAAGAGGCCGCAGCACCGCTCAACGATGTGCTGCGCACTGAACCTGCAGGGTGGACATTCTCAACCTGCTCGCTCGAGCAAGTCCCAACGAGGACCCCGGGCTGATCCACCCGTGTGGATGCTTCCCCTTCCCGTCGGAGTGCCCTGCCAGTGCGCACCCGCCAGGGTGTGCCGCGCGTCGGCCAGCGCTGCCCTCTCCCTTGCCAGCTCGACGAGGATTGGGGAGAGGGCGCCGACACGCGCCCCTGGGCTCCGCAAGGCATGAGGGTGTAAACACGACTAGCCCGAGTGGCCTGTTTGCCGCTCCGGGGCGAGGTCTACGCCCGGGGGAGGCCGCATCACCGCTCGACATCATGACGTGCATCTGCTCTGCAGCGTGGGTCCGCTGTCTTTGCTCGCAGAGCGGCGGGTCATTGTGAGAAGACCCCAGTCTGGTCCGCCCGTGTGGTCCCTTGCTGCAGCTGCGGCTGCGTGTGGTACCCCCCCGCCTTCCCCTCGTCCGATGCCTCCTCATTCTCTTCCTCTCGTGGCCTGCTCCCACTTCATCTTCACTCGTTGCACATTCATCACTCCTCCTTCCTCCCGTATCAACCTCGTCCCATCTCCACCTTCCTCTTCCCCCTCTTCCACCATCTCTTCGTGCTACTCCTACTCGTCCTACTTCTCTTTGACCAATCCTATGGATGATATACCTACCCGCTGCCAAGCGGAGGCTTCAACCCCCGATCAACTGAGTGTCAGTCCTCATGGGCGGAATGGAACAACAAACAATGTTGCGACATTAGAGAAGACCCGGGGATCTGGCAAACCATGACTTCTTGAGATTTCACCGCGCGCGCCTCAGAAGCCTGCGGAGGCATCCGGAGGCTCGAACAACTCATTCTTCGAGGGTCATGGCGCCCAGGACGCAACTGGCACGCAGAACCGACAGAGGCTCTGGCCCGTCGGGGGGGGCGCCATCCTTGTGAAGGTTGCCACTTTTCAAGGGCCAATGCACCCGTGGCGCAGGTGGCGCGCAGATCCGGCAGAAACTTCCTGGAACGCTGTCCACTTGACCAGATGATAACCGTGAGGAAGACGACGACCGACGACCTACGGCGGACGACGCGTGACGACGACGAGAATGGTGACGACGAGCATAGTCCGTACAGTCGGAACTAGGAAAGAATAACATACTCCACGAACACGAGATACTCCGCTGGAAACAAAAAAACACGGAACATCCAAGAATACCTCCCCAGGGTGCTCAAGAAGAACATCATAGGAAAAGAACCTTACAAGAGAAGAAAGCCGCCATCAACCTAAACTGTTGGCGCTCCGCGCGGAGCGCAAACAAATTACGTTCATGGCCCTTTTCCTTCTTCGAGTCAGGGTACACTCCCCAAACCGACCTCGATCTCATACCTCGGTCTGGCTGTAGGCAAAAGCGTGGGTTCGGGGAACAGCGACGACCGGAGGCCTCTCTCCTCGGGTCCTCTGCCCTCGAAGAGTTGCTCGTTCTTGGCGGCGCGCAGAGGGGGGAAGCTTCTCAGGAGCACCCCTGCTTCTTAGAGGGCGCAGGCCCTTCTCGTAATTTGCCAGGCATATCAAAACGAGTGCAACACAAGTCAACACAAGTGCTCATATCTGGTCCAGGACTGACTATGACCAACTATTCGGGCACCACTGATCCAGTTCGCCCTCAGCGTTTCGGCGTGTGGTTGGCCATCCTCTTCAGGACCTGCCACAACCAACCACACGGGGCAGGCCGACGCTGTCACGAACGACATCCCTGTTTCCGCCGTAGAGAAAACACCACGCGTACCTCTTGAATGCAAGATACACTGTGTCTGGCTGTATTCTGGGACTCCTTCGTGCACACCAAAATTGCCAGAAGATGTCCAGCAAAGCTCTTGGAATCTGCTGTTTTGGCCTTCGGAAAAGGGAGGAAACAACTGCCCCCTCTTTCGTGAAACCGTCGGCACCTGGCGGACTGGCCGCAGGTGCCCCCTTTTCCCCTTGAGTGTCTGACTCCCCGCCCCCGTGACCAGAGCACTGACTGGAGCACAGGACGGCGGAGCCGACTTCACAGCAGGCATGCCGGAATGAATCTCTCTGCAACACGCTCAGGCATGCCATAGTCTTTCTGACTGACGGGGAAAACGGCTGCGCCGCCGAAGACGAGTTCCTGGAGAGTTTCGGCTGGTAACCCGTAATTTGCCAGGCATATCAAAATGAGTGCAACACCACTCAACACAAGTGCTCATATCTGGTCTAGGACTGAGTTTGCCCAACTATTCGGGCACCCTTGGTCCAGATCGCCCTCAGCGTTTCGGCGTGTGGTTGGCCATCCTCTTCAGGACCTGCCACAACCAACCACACGGGGCAGGCCGACGCTGTCACGAACGACATCCCTGTTTCCGCCGTAGAGAAAACACCACGCGTACCTCTTGAATGCAAGATACAGTGTGTCTGGCTGTATTCTGGGACTCCTTCGTGCACACCACCAAAATTGCCAGAAGATGTCCAGCAAAACTCTTGGAATCTGCTGTTTTGGCCTTCGGAGAAAGGAGGAAACAACTGCCCCTCTTTCGTGAAACCGTCGGCACCTGGCGGACTGGCCGCAGGTGCCCCCTTTTTCCCTTGAGTGTCTGACTCCCCGCCCCCGTGACCAGAGCACTGACTGGAGTACAGGACGGCGGAGCCGACTTCACAGCAGGCATGCCGGAATGAATCTCTCTGCGACACGCGCAGGCATGCCAGAATCTCTCTGACTGATGGGGAAAAAAGCTGCGCCGCCGAAGACGAGCTCCTGGAGAGCTTCGGCTGGTAACCCGTAATTTGCCAGGCGTATCAAAATGAGTGAAACATAAATCAACACAAGTGCTCATATCTGGTCTAGGACTGAGTTTGCCCAACTATTCGGGCACCCTTGGTCCAGATCGCCCTCAGCGTTTCGGCGTGTGGTTGGCCATCCTCTTCAGGACCTGCCACAACCAACCACACGGGGCAGGCCGACGCCGTCACGAACGACATCCCTGTTTCCGCCGTGGAGAAAGCACCACGTTTACCTCTTGAATGCAGGATACATTGTGTCTGGCTGTATTCTGGGACTCCTTCGTGCACACCACAATTGCCAGAAGATGTCCATCAAAGCTCTGGGAACCTGCTGTTTTGGCCTTCGGAGAAGGGAGGAAACAACTCTTCTCTGTAGGTGCAAGACCAGCGCCTTCTGAGAAACAGCGTCCTTCTGAGAAGCAGCGTCCTTCTAAGACACATGGCCACGAACTATAAGGCCAGACATTGTCTCCTCCTCCTCCTCCTCCTCATCCTTCTCCTCCTCCTCCCTCTCCTCCACCTCCTCCTCCTTCCTCCTCCTCCTCCTCCTCCCCCTCCTCCTCCGTCTCCCCTCTCTCCTCCTCCTCCTCCTCCTCCTCCTCCTCCTCCAACTCCTCTTCCTCCTCCTCCTCCTCCTCCTCCTCCTCCTCCTCCTCCTCCTCCTCCTCCTGGTGCATGCCGCCAGTGTTCTGACCCGCGGGCGGCCTCCGCGCGCTTGTGCGCCACGACCACCATGGGCTCGAAGTCCTCCAGGAGCGACTCGATCCTGGGCCAGTAAGAGACAGCTACGTGCCGGGAGGCCTTCGTCGGACGGAGTAGGCTGTGCTGCTCCCACCATACTTGCGGAGCGCATCCCCAACAATAATTGCGAGCACCGAGAGAAGTGTCGAAACAATGTCGAGCGAGTATCGCCTCCCAAGGCCCGACGCGTGAAAACCGTCCGGTGTCGGAGCTTTCTTGGAGCTAGAAGTTCTTGCTGGCGGTTAAAGCTAAAGTGGGTTGGAATATCGTAAGGATTAGGGAAAATGTACTCCCATTGGGGGGCTGCTACGCCCGCTTATGCCGCGGATCGAGCGGGATTGAGCCGGATCAAACGGGATGGAGTCGGCTGAAACGGGGCTGAGCTGGATCTCAGACCAGGGCAAAGCCAGAACCTGACCTCCCAGTATCGGGAGCGGCCAGGAGGGGGGTGTCCAAGAGGGGGGGGTGCAAACCATGACCGGCGACATGTGCGCGGCCCAGCGGGGGGGCCAGGGACATAATTGCGGGCAAGACTTATATCCATATCCAGTGCGTCTTGAACTTTTTTTTGGAAGAAGCGTCTCAGGGCTTGTAGCCGCGCTGGTTCGGAGAGGGCTGTCTTCAAGAAAACCGCAAAATAGTTTTTAAATAGGCCAAAAATAGGTTTTGCATGATTTTGTAAAATTGTTTTTTTTAGTTGTTGAACTACTCGAACGGCTTTTTTTTTCGCCAGTGGATCGTAATCCGAAAGGCGGTTACATGTTTTTTTCCGTTCCTCTGGTCTCAAGCACAAGCGGTTGTATTTGGCAGTGGCGGTCGGTGTCTGCAATTTCGCATTGACTTGATTCAGGTGTCCGCGCAGTGGCAATCTCGTTGGTCTGGGAGTTCCTCTGCTTTGTTTGCACCTCGCCTTGAATGGCGCTACGCTACAACACGCCTCTGCAAGAATTCGGGGGCGATTAAGCCGCTTGTCCCAATGATTCGGGGGGTCCCTGATTGGAGCCACAACGGTACCATAAACACATGCAACAAATTCGGATTCGGCCCACGACCATTACTGCGCGATGCAGTCCACAAGGTGGCCCCATCTAACAAAAACACACATCGGTTCTGAATCGATGGGGGGATCGCGGCAGCCTCGAAGTTCGCTGTAAACCAAAACATCGGGCTACATGTGATCCTCCACCTCCACCTCCCGCCCTCCTCCTCCCAGGGGGGGGGGGGGCTTCCCTTTTTCTCACCATTATTCCTTTTTCCCTCCTCCTCCTTTCTCCTGTCATTTCTCCCCCTACTGCCCCTCTGTCTCGTCCTCCTTCAGCCTTTCCTCTTAATCCTCCTCCTCCTCCTCCCCCCCCCCCTCCCTCTCACCCCCATCACGGCAACCGTGCTTCAGGGTTCAGGGACCGCGCAAGCGGAAAAGGAATACAGCACGGAACGAAGTGCGAGCGTTGGAGGCATCCTCAGTTGCAAGTGTTTCGTAAGCGCTTCTTCTCCCAGTCTGAATATGTTATTTCCCTTCTCCTCCTGTCCCCGCCCTCCCCCTCCCCTCCTGCCCTTTTTCTACTGCCTCACTCCTCCGCCTCCTCCTCCTCACAGCTTCTGGATCAAACATTATTCTGACGGTGCTCCCGCAATCGGTGGCGACGATGGTGGATGTGATGCGGATCGTGATGATGCGCTCTCTCGGCAAACTGCCTTGTTGTCAACATCCGCATCCACCAGCGGACCCACTGCCGCATCGTCGACGTCGATCGTCGCGGTAACACCGCGACGCCATCACATCCACACAGCATTTCCTCCTGGAGGGGATACTGTACTTCCGCAGGCCACCACTCCTCATGATTACACAATCGATTCCATCGCAAGTGCCTTGCGAATGACCTCCTGGACTGGAGGGAAGACCTTGACATCCCAATGCATCTTGTCAGACTCGATCTTCGTCACGAACTTTTTCAACGCCACGGCGTTGCTCCTGACTTTTGCAAGGCCGTAGAGCACAGCGTATTCAACGCAAGTGGTCCCTGCTGCCGTGAGGTCACCCAGGAGAGCCTGCAACAGATCAGAAGGGCTGGCGTCCGTCCTCCCAAAGTCGATCCCAAGCTTGGTGATGGCATCCCTGATGGCGACCTTCTGGATGACCTGCGCTTTGAGAGACTCGTAGGGGCAGTCCTTCAAAAACGTTTCGCAGCTCTGGGAGGCCAGCATATCGTCAAAAGTCATGTCTGTTCCTTCGGCCAGTGACAGGCGCCACGATCTGCCCAAGACCCCACCTTTGAACTTGTCCAAGGGAACCGTATCATGCATCTCTGCGAGCTTGTCGACGTACATCTGCAGGCGGGACGTGTAGAGCAAATCCTTCATGCCCAAGCTCTCCTCCAGCAAGTCCTGCATCCAGGTATGTCGAATCATGTTCTGAATCTTGGTCGGGTCCCCGACGTCCTCGAACTCGTTCTTCATGCCCGCGTACTGCGTGAGGAGGCCCAGGAACGCGCCCACGCTGTGTTCAGGCACAGCTGCAGCAGCCTTGCTGTCCCACGTGGTGTCCTCGGCGCGCAGCGTCGCAGTGGCGCCCGCCAGCGCCTTCGCCAATTTCATCCATCTGCAGAGCTGCGCGGCGGACGTGAAACCAAAGTTGGTCGGACACACCTCGTGCCAGTAGTCTGCCCAACCCGTCGGCTGAGATATCCACATCAGCGCAGGGTCGAACATCTGATCCCCAGCGATGTCATGGATGCTATCCCGCTTCTTCGTCACAAGCTGAATCGCAGACATGGTGAAAGATACGAGCTTCTGCTTGCTCTCTGCAGACACCTCGCGACGAAGGGATTCTATCTGGCTGAAGTTGGAAACGGCGTACAGCAACGTATCCTTGTTGAAGCAGTTGATCTTCTCGCAAAAGCTCTCGGCGAGGTGTTTCCCGTTGTTCTGCATCAGCGCGCAGTCGATCACGACCAAGGCATCCTGCCACTGGGGTTGCGCGCCGTAGAGATAAGACGCTGCCTTCTGAATGGCCCACGCAGCATCATGAAGATCACTGGTAGCTGCATCCCTGGACTCCTGCACAAACATCTTCGCTTTCCCGAAGTAGGCGTCCACAGCCTGCCTGGTGAGTACGAGGAGGCTCTCGACATCTGCAGCTGGCAAGGATGCTTTAGCCTTGGGCAGGTCAGCGAGAACACGTTCGAGGACCACGGGCGTCGGCGTCGGCGCACGCGTGACCCCCTCGATGTCCGTGAGGTGCTTAGTCAGCGTGGGGCGCCACTTCTTCACTTCGGGTGAGTACCTCATGAACGTGTCGAGCACCTCCTTCCAGTAGGGCTCAGCCTTGATTATAGCGTAGACGGCGCCATAGAGCGTCCCAGGCTTGGAACGAATAATCGTTTCAACCGTGGAGAGGGGCACCGCGTCTCTCGTGGAGCCCGTAATGGTCATCACCAGCTGCAGCGCCGCGACCACCTCAGCGGCTGCAGCGTCGACGACGGCGTCGCAGGTCATCGGCATGGCCTTGATCTCACCAATCGCAGCGCTGCAAAACCCAAGTGTCTTAGCATGTCCTTCCTTGCCGAGCTGGAGGGGGCTCTTCATCGCGACGTTGACGAGGTAGCCCTTGAAGAGGCCAGCCTGCTCTGCAACTGGCACCGACATCTTGGCCAACGACGGCGACGAACACAATAACCGATTGTCCGACTCCACGTCTCCCAAGTCGTGGGACCACGACAGGCTGAGCTTGATCGCAAAGTCAGGCTTGGAAGCCCACTTGGCATCGGATCTCCAATCCTCCAATGCCCTGTCCCACACGGCGCGCTGGAACACAGCGGGGGTATTCGGCAAGAGCTTGTCGATGTCATCTGTCAGCTTGCGATGCTCGGTGCTGTTCATGATGGCAATGGCCTTGCACTTCAGGTCGCCTGCCACCTTGGCCCTCTCTGCAAGGTCAAGCCGCGTCTTCGCCTCGTCGATCTGAGGGTCATCGGCCACCTTTTGGACAAGGTCACGCAACTTGCGAAGCGTGTGGCCGACCTTGCGGCCACCCAGGAATTTATATATCTTGCAGTTGTGGATGGCTAGCCTCAGGGAGACCGAGCCCGAAGACTACGCGGCATCACCCCCGTGCGTGCACGACCTGGTAGTATGTATGTGCGCCCCTACACGTGCGTACGGCACTATATATGCACTCACACACGCTCGCACGTGCTGGAAGTGTTATCTACGTATGCGCGCGCGGGCGTAACACATAGCACAGCAGTGTGGACGCGCTGTGTTGAGGGGAGGGTGGGACAAATGTTACGTAGCCATCGGGCCTCAGCCTGGACCAAGACGCCTTCTCCTTCCTGGCCTCCTCGTCCTCCTCATCCGAGCTGTCCGCGCAACTGCTATCGAATCTGATGTTGGGCCTCTCGCTGGCGCGCGTCTCAGAGCCGACAGTGGTCAACGCCTCATCCAACGAAGAACGAGCGTCGTCGGGCGTCTCCGCGGCGTCAGCCGACGGCGACGGGCGTGATCCCAGCGAGAGCCTGTCCAACTTCCTCACAGGCGTGACCGACGGAGGGCCCGTAGACGATGCAGCAGCATCAGGGCAACCACCAGACGTGTCAGACGCCTCCAGAGCGCCCTCCAAAGACTGTGGACCTGGATCTTCAGGGCCTTCGATGACGATAGGCTGATGATCAGGCTGCGGCTGAGGCTCCTGCACATGCCCCTCCTTCAAACGACGGTTCTGCTCAGCGATCGCCGCCTGTGTGCGCTTGTCCTCGATCCTGTCCAAGATGCCCTGATGGCTCGGCGCGTTGAAGAAGCCCCTGAGGTCAATGCAACGATGCTCGATCATCGACTGCATATGCAAGGCGCCCTGCTCGGGAAACATCCTGGACTCGGGCGCCATCAAGGACATCGAATGGTTGAGCTCCCTGCGGCGGTAGATGTTCACGACGGGATATGGCTGAAGAGGGTTGGCCTGCACATAGTAGTAACGCAACGCACCGTGTGAATCCACGACGCTCGTGGGCTTGAGGTCGAGTTCGGACG